AATAAATTAACAATCGCGCGCTGAAGTCCATTCTGTACAAGAATATATGGAAACGGGATGAAGTCCTTTTTGTAAAACTAACCGCCAAATCAGGGAAAAGTTCGTTCTTCAGGAACATATTTCTGTGTGGAACGTCTATGTGTCAGGAACCACAACAGCCGGATAGTAATAACTCACGTCGATCCGGAACTTACAAGTGTCAGATATATTCATTAACAATCATGCGCTAAAGTAGTACTCAGGAACATTCTTTATCAGGAACGCCTTGGACTAATCTGGAAAAACACTGGTCAGGAAAAAGTAGAGATATCCAGGACGAACACCTGTATTAGGATCTCCTTGAGAATGTCTAATTAAAGTTTTCGGAAAAATATAACGAAGAAACAGCGAAGTTATATTTTGCGTAAAGCACTTTGTCTCAAATCGAGCAAAATTCTCATCATCTGAAAGCTGAGAGAAATCCAAGTCCGTAGCCCGCTGGTACACGCTGCTCGCAAGAGCAAGACCCACAAGGGATCAAACCCCCACTCTTTTTCTCCTTTTCCTTTATATCAAAAATCAGAATCAGAATGAATTCTAACAAGGTGCAAGCACCTAAGTAAACTCGTCTCTCCGCCACCGAAAATTTCATAAGCTTACAAAAAATCATAAAATTAAATCACATCAATCCCAGAATTTTACTTTATCTATAACTGAGAACTTTCGCCCCCACAACGAATCAAAACAAGGCAAACTGGACAATGCAGTTCTGACCATCTGTACTTTGGGAAAAATGTGGGAACTAAACCCCCCCCCCACCTAACAAGCAGTATACTCACTGTCTTGAAGTAAACAAAATTGCAACTATAACAAAGCGAAAATGTATAAGCGGATTTTCGTTTCAGCGCCATTAGTAAAAATGGCCACCAGCAAAGAAAACGACAACACGCTAACTGCTTCGACTGTTAGTAAAAAGGCCATAAACCAGGTGTGTTCTCGTAAACGTTTCCTGTCTTTGTTACACGAACAGTTTCAAGAACTACCAGCTAAATAAGGCTCTTAACAACTTGAGAATACTGTTTTTTACCGAATTAAAATACACACTAGTACAAATAAAAACACTAGAATAATGATAACTTAAAACAAACATTAATATAATTAAAATTCGGGACATAGCACATTTACACTATCATGATATGCGGATCGGTTAAAAGATGATATATATGGGGCTTTATTCCGTAGCCAATCTGTATTGTTTGTGAACTGCTTAGTAAAGATGCTGCTAAAATTTTGCCAGTTCCCTTCTGCAACATTTGCTTGCAAATAAAATTCTACAGCTTAGTTTCTCCAATATGTAACAAAATAATCTATAAACCAAATGCAAATACAGATATTAAATCCTGAGAGAAGTACAGATTTTGGAAAATTCTAAAATTTGTTTTGACTTTTTTCCTTTTCTACATAATCAAACCTTAAGTCTCATCACAAATAATTCAGATATCTTCCTAGCTATTGTTTCTGATCTCTCTCTTGATTCTGATGAATGTGTAAGTTTTTACAAATCAAAACAAATGTAAAAAAAAGGAGGTTTATTTCAAAAGTCCATAGCGGGAAACTTTAAACATGGAACTCCTAATTCTCTCCAGGAAAATATAAGAATAAAAGCAACTATTTTTTGCCTTTTCCTTTTTTTTAACTAAAGCAAGTGTAAAGTTGAGATGATTATTTTACGAAATTAGCATAGATAAACACCAAACATGGAGTACCTCATTCTGTCCAGAACATTAGAGAATATAAACAAGGTGTTTTTTATTTTTATTTATTTTATTAAAGCAAATGTAGAGGACGGAGGGTTATTTTAACATACATAGATAAATACTACACATAGAACACCAAATTCTGTTCAGGAAATTAAAAAATATGAGCCACGGTCCTTTTTCTTTTTAATTTAAAACAAATGTAGAGTTTGCGAGGATTCAAGATTTAGCATAGATAAACACTAAATATGAAATGCCAAATTTTCTCCAGAATGTATAGTATATGCCTCGACAATTTTTGTTTAATTAAACAAGTATACCGTTGCTAGAATTATTTCGAGAGTTTAAACACTAAACATTTTATGCCTAATTCTCTTCAGAAAATGAAAGAAAGCTAAAACATTTAACCCATTTTTAAGTTTGAATTCGAATACTGAAAAATTCTAGAGATTGGAGTTTTGGAATGATGAATAATTCACAAGATTCATTAGATTTGAAGTTTCCAATGTCTTGTCTCTGCTAAAAATGATATAAGTACAGCAGAACAAAGAGTGAATTTTTATAATCAAAATAATTTGCAAAATTTGGTATAATAAGTTTAAGATTTTTGCCAAATTAAGTAAATGAAAATGTGAATTATTCTCAAGATGATTCCATCTTCCATCACCCGTAAGTAGCGGAGTAGTAAAATTCGTGATGCGTCGTTAACCCGTTGTTAATTCGTGATTCATTGTTGTTAATTCGTGGTGTGTTATCTTAATCTATTTGTATACGAGTATGCTGCAACCTTCCTGGCCGATAATAATCGGACTCAAATCAAAATGATACATGTATTAAATTATTGTAGATAAAAATGATAGCATGTACTTCTCCACCCGAAATGGGCACACCGAAGCCCGAATTTTGAATTTCTTTTGGTTTATTTCATATTTTTTTGCAGGTTTAACGAACGCTGATTTAACCAATTCAACGATTTGAAATCGGAAAAAGCGTTCGATATAAAATATATTTATCTCCAGCGTACCTGAGAGTTGCCTTTCTCTAAAATGTAGGATATTTATCTTTCAATTTTAATCCACATGGCTAGCCACAAATCCACAAAAGCATTTGTCACTGCCTCAAAGGGAATAATTATTATCTTTGCGCACCAGCGTGTTGCCATTCAAAAAACAATAATAAATAAATAAAATAATAAGATTTAATGTTCAAATTTAATCCTTCTGTTACTGAATAGCAGCAAGCTAAGTAACTGAAAAGCAATCAACGCACTTCTTAAAAATATTTGTTCTACTTTTTAATCTCATTGATTTAATAAAAATGCATTTAAACGATGAGATGTCTAACTAGAAATATTAAACATTTTTATGTAATAACACATGGAGTTTTTTAAAAATCATCATATACTTTTTTCTTTTTTATGACAACTCTTTTAGGCGGCTGGGAGCTCGAGCGACTAGTTTTCAAAGAAATAATACCGCGATTATAAAAAGATGTATAGCTACCATTAAAATTCCATCGGGAATTCTAAAGATATACAATTTTTTTTAATATTTTGCGATTTTGTTGTTGAAATTTTTGTGGTATAAATGCAAAGCAAGAGATGCTTAATAATAAAGTTAAAAGGACACACGATTGTGTTAGCAGGAGTGAGTTCAAGAGTGAACTGGTAACCTGCAATGCTCAGCAAAAGCATAAAAAAACTTTTAACAAAACATCTGGCGCGACTTTGAATTCTGAACACTTTCAAATTTCCCCTCCCCCTTTTTTTTCCCAAATGTACAGCAAACGTAGAACTAACATTTTATTTTATTTATTTATTTATTAATTTTACATTAACCTAGATACTTTGCCAGATGTAAATGAAATTAACTGAATTTTCTCAGAAAATAATGTGACACATGCAATGCGAATTCATGCTCCCATTTTCTATTTACTACTCAAGTTGAAAGTTTATCTCACGTTTTTCATGTTTGTAAACATTTTAACGATACATTCTCATGCTTCTGAGTACTATTGAGAAATTTTATCAAACATGTATTGTAGGTAGAAATCTGTATTACTCTGAGAATTAAAAACCAGTTTTTATCAAATTATTTTTTATTTTATTATTATTGTTTTCTGTAAAAGGATTTCGTGTCCTAGAAAAATAAAATCTTTGCTACTTAAAGGAAATATATACTGCAAACGTTATAATGAAATAAATGCTGTACTGCGTCTTAATTTGGTATTTATTGCTCAATTCTCTGCATGGCGTCAATTTAAGATAAAATAACATCTTAGAGAAAATTTTTATTCCGTTTGGGTTTACATTTAAGAAACTCATTTTAAATACCGTTTTTACTCGCCTAATTCCCCTTTCCTAACTTTTTGTCATACTGTTATGGAAATGTTTTAAGCATTCACGTAATTTTACCATCCCTCAAGGCAATCAGAAAGCAAGTTTCCCAACATTTTAAAACGTGTTCATCCACGTTGTTTTCACCTTGCTAATTCATTTGCTAGAGAATTTTGGGAGCATGGGTTCTGACTAATGAAGGAATAATAGCGAACAGCTTCAAGAAAATGGATATTCATGTTCATAATTGTTCATGATGATTCTAAAGATCAATTCAAGTGGGAAGGTAGACTGAACGATGACGAAGACTATGACAGCTGTGACGATGGGGATATCTTGCAACTTGTAACAGATGACACAGAGAGAATTCTAGCAGCAAATGATTTGATGGCTAAGGAATAGCAATGATAACAATAAGAGAGGATGAGATTCAAGATGAAAAGAAAAAAAAAAGTAGTAGAAATGAAAATTCGACATTGTTAATATTACTGCGTAATCTTATTAGAATGTAGTTTGCTTTTAAATAAATAATATTGTTATAGATACTGGTGGTTTATCCGTGAGTACATTTCATTTATTGTGTTCTTACTGTAACCGTGTTCTTCTGAAAACAAGTTATTCACATTATTTTCCACTCTCGATTTTGGTCCGATAAAATTAATAAAAAAAGGGAAAATATGCGACTAAATACGGTGTATGAATTCCCCCAAAGAAACTAATTTTTAAAGTAATAATCCTATTGCAACTGCTTTGCTTAAAATTCTTTCAAATATTAAAGAGAAATCTGCATGACAACATCAGACTGATTCTTATGTTATTTCCTTGAATCCTTCAAATTTTTTCCTCAAGTTTCTGAAGTTTACAGACTATTTTTATTTTTTTTTTTAAATTAAAGAACAAAAATTTTAGGAAATCATTGAGAAGAAGCGTACACAACAAGGAAACAAGATTTATTTAATCTGATATACAGATGCACATGGAGGTACAAAACAAGGAACAATAACATTTAAAATTTAACTAAAACAGCACTTAAAAGGCACACATTAAAGTTTCCTACAATGAGCACCGAGTTGTCAACACAAATGCATTGTGCATTATTTTTATAGAAAATCATACTTTATAAATAACATATGAATGCTTCCATTTTATACATACAAAATGCAATAATTCAAGAAAATAAGGTGAAAAATTTAGAGTTTTCTGTGTGATTTTAATCTAAACTTTCCAATTTAAAATTACTAGTAATTAACATGGTGACTCATTCGCAAACCATGTAGCCTTTATTACCATATGATTGATTTACCATTCATTGAGCTGTATCATAGTTATTAATAGCTAATTTATAAAACACAAGGGTTTAAATTTTTTAACAGTTCCATTTCATATAACACTGATACAAAAAAATTATCAAGAAATACATTAGAGGACTAAGTTTGTTTTTCAAGATAAATTGGGTTGTAGTTTAAATTTCCGGAAATTACAAATATGATTATGAAAAGTATATCCATGAACATTACGAACGAATTATTAAAGAATGTAGTTTTTATACACAAACACAATATCTTCTCGAAATGCTATTAAAAAGAGATCGAAAAGAAGAATCGTATAAGTTGTGCAAAATTAGCGTTAAAAAACCTCAAAGCAAGTATGAAACGTAAATGAAAATAATTCCCATTTACTCTCATTTTAAAAGTTTTCATTCGGTTAATATGAACATTACTTGCTTTTCCTAAGTTTTCCAAAGCAGTGAAAAGCAAATACAAATAAGAGCTCATTTAATAGAATGGTGTTTTAGTAGTAAGAAATAGATTTCCGATATTTTTACATAAAATTCAAATGGCTGTTCGTAATTTATCTTACAATGTTTTAAATTTTGAATCTCTAATAATCCATTTAAAAAAATTAATCTTAATTTATTACATTATAAAAAGAAAGAAAATAAAATACATTTTTAGATCATTTAAAAAAAAACTCATTTGTTACTTTAGGTCTTTTTTACAACGATTTGTAAAGTGTTACTAAAACGAAGCTTGAAAAGAAATAACTTGTCTAATTTTTTCAAAAGGAAATTAAATTAATTTTATTATCACCCATGAAAATTGAAAGATGGTTATAATTAAAAAAGGACATGACGACTGGCAATTATATTTTTTTAACTTGATTTGCAAACCAGTCTTTTCTTTGTATGCTTTCGATTGCTTCGCATAACGTCCGTAAACATTTTCTCCAACAGTAAACGAGCAACTATGTGTTAATGAAATACTTATTTGATAAAACAATACACGAAATCACTTAAAGGAATTTAAAATATAAATACAACTCCTCGTTGTGTTTTTAGTCAGAAAATATGCTCAACTTTTCTTTCTTAGCTATTATTTTTTGTATCCTAACCGCAACGAATTCTTTAATTTATATTAAATAAGATATTAATTTTGATTGGTGTTCGCAAAATTTCAATACTGTATTTTTTAAATAATGTCTCAACGAAAACACTCGAGATCAAGTTATCGACAAGATATGGACATTCGAGATCAAGATGTGAACTAATTGAAATGTGAAGATCCTAATTTGAAATACCACGCAGGTTATACTTCCGTGTGGTCATCTGATATATTAAAATGTCTCACACTCACAATCCTGCTCTGTCCTTTGGATGTACTAATAACAGTCGGTGCATGCGATGGTGGTTGAGATTCCGACCGTCTCTGTCTCTTCGATAACAGTAATACCGTGATTGCAATAATCAGCAACGACCCGATAACACCAAGCACTACCATAAGAGCAATCGAATCGCTTCTGGACGTAGCTGGCCTCTTTTGTTCGGGACTTTGGGCTGTGCCTTGATCTCGTTTCTTCCTTGAATAATCCAAAACTATTCTGTTCATATTAGTACCACGACCGTTAAAGCCTATCTCGACATCATCATTGACATCAAAGGATGCACGCCGTGTTCTGAAGATGACTTGACTCTGGATGCTGCGTTTTCCAATACCTCTTGCTGCATTTTCCTTAGAGCGGACAGTGTATATGCAATGTACGAACCACTGTCGACCATAAGATACCTGTGAAACAATAAAAGTAGAAGTTTTTAATTATCACATAAACATACTCATGTTACAAATTAATAAAAATAGATAAAAGGGATTTTTTCAACTCTAAGAACCATTTTTACTAATCATCAGAAGCAAAATAAAACCAATCAGTTATAAATCTTATGTAGTAACAAGGCTGCTATAGTACTCGCCGCATTATGTGATCACGTTTGTCCATCGCTATTTTGACAGCATTAGCCGCCCAGATGGTATAGTGGTTAGGGGAGCCGACTACGATATCGAAGGGCCCAGGTTTGGAGAATGCATGGGTGTAACTGTCTGTCCATTCATAGGAGGAAAAGATGGCCAACCTATGTGCCTCCATAATAAAGAGTCCACCGCTTCTGGCTTTAGTAGTGGCTAACGTCTATGATGACTCGTGCTCGCCATTGGAGAGGGGAGAAACATTAACGGTGATCACATTAATTAATTTTTTTCTCTAATGTACAAGAAATTTCCTTTGCATTTTATGGGACACAGATCTTAGGACTGTACAAATTTGACCAGCCCGCTGGGGCGAAATACTTGTATAACATGAATAATTGTCTATAGAATTAATTAAAGAATGATAGTACCTGAAGAATATCTTCGCTGCAACAAAATTATCCAAAGAAAGACTCAAGTCTAACTAATTAGTTAAGTAAATACACAGTGACTCAGAAAAGTATTGGGACATAAGGAATTTTCAAATGATTAGCGATAAAAATTCAGCGATTGCACCAAGACTAAATATTTTTCCTTGTCTTCTGTATCTACAATATAATTATTTTTAATAATAATAATTCCGAAATATGTCTTTGCATTATTATTAGGCTTAAAAATTACCCACGAGAATTGGTATCTGTAAAAGATGAATATAATATAATTACTGCAAGTAGAGTGATATATACAGTTAGTCAATAAAGTCTGCGTACATCAAGAAAAGTAATATCAAATCCAAATTTTAAGGTGCGAAAAGGGTAGTTTCTTAAAGTTTTATTTTTTAAATATTTAGTTTCAATAAGGGACTTATTATATTAAAATTATTTAACTGTAATATTTTCATATCTAATAATTTATCCACACTAATTTTTAAAAAATAAGTGGCCAGAAATCAAAGCCAATAAAGTTTGCGTACAACGCGTAGGAGGCGGGGGATTTCTTATCTAACTTTTAAACTTCAAACTTGAGAATGCAAAAAAGGTTACACTTTCAAGGTCATTGACTTCCGAAGCAAATTTCACGTTGATTGGAAGTTGCTATTTCTATTTTCTTTGACGAAAATGACAACCAATAAAGAAATTCCTTTAGTTACGAGACAGCTAATTATCAAATTGAGAGATGAAGGTAAAACTCTTCGTTATATTGGTAAAACCATAGGAAAACCATTTTCTAGAGTGCAAAGAGTTATTCAAAACTATCTTGACACTAGTAGTCTTGCTGTAAAACCAAGATGTGGGAGACCGAAGAAGCTAATGCAGAGAGAAGAAAGAAAAATTCTTTTACGAATTAAACAAAATCCTAAACTTTCTGCTGCAAGCATTGCAAAAGACTTTTTTAACTAGCAACAAGGAAATTTCTCCTGAAACTGTACGAAAAGTGCTGCGAAAGTCCGATTATCATGGACGCAAACCTAGGTCTAAGCCATACATTTCCGAGACAAATAGAAAGAAAAGAATTGCTTTTGCCAAAACATATTTAAACTCTTCGCAGGACTTCTGGAACAATGTAATTTGGTCAGATGAAAGTAAATTTACAATATTTAAAGTTAATGGCCACCCTATTGTATGGAGAAAACCAGGAACAGAACTGAATCTGAGAAATTTAAATCCAACTGTCAAACATGGAGTTGGCGGTGTGATGGTATGGGGGTGTATGTCGTCGAAAGGAGTTGGAAATTTTCACATTATTGATAAAGTCATGGATAAGTATGTTTATCTGGATATTATGAAGAAAAATCTACGAGACAGTGCCCGAAATTTACACCTTTCTAATACCTTTATTTTCCAACAAGACAACGACCCGAAACATACAGCTAAAATTGTAGAGGAATATCTCCTCTATCACACTCCAAGACAGTTGCGTACTCCTCCACAGTCACCAGACCTCAATCCAATCGAACATTTGTGGGCAAAATTAGAGAAACGAATTCGAAAACACAATATTACGTCGCGAAATAAGCTAATTAGTAAATTGCAAGAAGAATGGGCGAAATTTACGTTGGATGACACCGAAAAACTAGTTCAGTCAATGCCCAGACGTCTGCAAGCTGTTTTGAAGAATAAAGGATATCCTACAAAGTATTGAAGTAATGTAAAAAACTTATATTTTGCTTTTTTTTAAGTGTACGCAGACTTATTGAAAGGAATTTCTGAGTTTTTTTGACAAAATATATTTTTGAAAAAATGTAAAAAGTATTACACTGATATTATTTACTTTTTTATTTAAGCTTACAATTTCAGCTAATAGAAGAAAAAAATGCAATGATTAAAATACATTTTTCTATGCTTTAAGTGTTTTAATTTAAAATTTAGTCTGTATGCAGACTTTTGTGACTAACTGTATGTTGCCCGAATTTGTTTTCTTGTTGGATTTTAAGTGCCTTTTGAAACTCGATCTTCATGCGGACGTTAAAAACATCCGGTAGACGTTACTTAGAACTTTCTATAATTTTCTCTAATCATACGAAACTGCAGTTTGAACAACATGCGTTCATCTGGATAAATAATGTTTATGGGTTAAATTAATTAGATTCTCCTAAATAATTTTTACTAAATAGATATAGTCTTTACATAAGCACAGAATGCAAATAAAATGAGCGGTATTTTTGTTCTCACCACCATTTATCATATATCGCGTCATTGCAAGATGTTCATAAGAGAATACCGCATGGGTACGGGTTCGTAATGGATTGAATGCACACAGAACCGATGATAACTTGACAAAATTTATTTTCCCCAAAGAAACGCTTTACAGGTATGGAACATTTCATATAAGTATTCGTACAGCTCATCTCAGTGTAACAGAGCTCAATCAGACGTTATAACTCCAAACTACTACGAACGTTAAACAGAACAAAATGCAAAGCGCACCTAAAGAGCGAAGTTCGCATGGAGATTTCTCAGTACTCCGAACTCAACTCTGAACTAAAAATTGAGAACTGATGCTCTTTCCGATGTTATAGTACAGTTCCCCTCGTCCGCCGAAAAATTTCGAGTACTTTCGATTTCTTGAAATTATTGAAAGGCATACACAGTTATACCTATACATAAGGATCAGACCAATTGCAGTTTAATAGTAATCAAATCAAAATGTCGCCAAATGGCAACTTTTGGCGATTTTTTGTGAAATTTGGCAACAGAAATTAGTCGACAGAAACATCGTCAGCTTGGTGCAGTCTCGCCAGTTTGGAGAAATAGAAATTTAACTCAATGTTAAACGGACTTGCACATAGCATTATTTTTCCAGTGACCCTTCACATTCTTGAGGCCTTTTACGCTACATTATACAAGAGATACTACAATTTGAACCATAATTTCATTAAAAATTATAATTACATTAAGATTATGTACATGTATACAAAAATTTAAATTATCTACATAGGTACAAAATTGGTAACAAACTTTATACCTGAAATAATGGAGCAGAATCAAAATAGAAGCCATCAGCAGCAGCTTGTTTTCTCAAAGCCTGAACTTCCTTGTTGGGATCGTCAGATGCCAAAACTGCATTGAATGGAACATTGCGAAATTCTTTGGTTACCGATCGTGGGGCTCCTTTGTCCTATAACAATAAAGTATTAGGAATACAAGTGCAGTACGCATGGTTAAAGCAAAAACAGATTCGTATTTTAAATTAGAATACTTTTACTAATAAATACAATCAATTAGTAGCTTTTTAATTTATTCTTTTTAATTAATTCATTATTTATCACTAATTAATGTTTTGTTCATTAATCCCATAAGTGCAAATGAATAATAATATAATAAGAATTTATCGTATGGTGGAATCGAAATTAATCGTATGGTCGAATTACTCGAGATATGTCACTGCTTGTACGAGCGATGTTTCTGAAGTTCTAGGAACTGAACTCTAGTTCAATTCCTGGAACTTATAAGCAACGCTATTGGCCAGAGTCAAGTCTCGACATGTTTATGTAGTTATCCCATGACATATTCTTTAATATGATTCAGGTGTTTGAGTGATACAGGCACATATTTTTAGCATTGTTTTTGAAACCGTAGAAGATGTTAAGAGCAAACTTTTTTTTTCCAGAAAGAAGCTGTAAAAAGCTTTAGAAAAGTATTCTGAAACCACATTTCTGCTTCTACATCTGTTTCCACAGTTGGGGAAAAAACATTAGTGTTCGATTTAAAAGTTTAACCATGTCATAGACAGATGGATTGAGGAGGCAATGTTGATAAGTGCATTCAATTAACCGGGGATTGCGTTGGAAAACTAAATTGTGATATTGATGAAATTGAAGAAATAAAAAATTATAAAATTACTAGAACTTCATATAAATAAATAATTTAGCTTGTTAGAATGCACCAGGTAGGCGAACATTCATGTGAATAGGAATGATGGTCTAATACTATCGTTGGCAAAAACACGTTCACGTGTTCATAAACAAATATCTAGTTTCTACATTCAAAAACTAGGTGATGACTAGCATTTTACGTGGTAAAGACTAAAGTAGAACGCTTGAAGAATAAAGAGTCTTCAGAAGATATTTTACATAACAGGTACAGATCGAGGTCTGATTGCTTATCATTTGAAGGACAGTGGTAAGATACACTAACTAATCGTTTTTATGTCTTTTCTAGGTTTTCCTACCTATGTTTCTTACATATGAATCTTTCTAGTAGTTCTATGTACAACCTACTAAAAATAATTAAAAGGAAAGAACTTCATAAATAGCCGATGCGAGGGAATAAAAACTGCTCTTCAAAGTATCAAAATCTCTGAGAGTGTATAAAAAGTTTCTCGATTCGAAGGAAGTAATTTTTTATATAAATGGTTCTCCAATTATACGTTTGTATAATCGAATTAAGGAGATAGAAGCGTGGAGAGGGGTTTTGGGTACGTTACCTTCTCCTTTTCTAAAACACAATTTTTATACTGTCATACGGTTTTTATTAAGTCAATTTATTTTCATTCTTTTTATAAAGCTATGGGGAAGAAACGCAGTTGAAAGTATGAAGAGGGACTTGCGATTCTACGGAAACCATTGAGAAATTTAAAAAATTAATAACCTGAGCCAAACGCTATTGTGACAGAGAATTTGCTAATGTTGAAGCAAACGTAAAGGGGCATAATCGTCGTCGACGCAAAGGGTATGAAAAGACATGAAAAAATCAAGAAAGTATTCTATTTCTAAAACGTACTTCATTAAGAAGAAGCCTTGCAGCTGCAGTGGAAGAGCTACTGACATTGATGAAAGAATCAAAATAGAAAGTATATTGCAGAGTGTTTTAACCGTAAAATCTGAATTTCAACATAAGAGCACATGAAAAAGACAGTCTTCGATCTGACACGCTCTGGAAATTCATTACTTGTCCCAAAGAATACGGTCAGAAAGTAACTGTAGAGTCATTAGGTTATTTTGATGATAGAGTAAATGAAAAATGTGGTATGCCGTCGCCGGGACTCGAAATTGGACCTCTAGAATACGGGCCGAGTGTGTTACCGTTACACCACGAAGGCATGCAGAAAGGAGGGAGAAAACACCTTGTATACCCCCCTTTTAAAGAGAGACTGGGAATGAGGAGACCCAGTCGCCAAATCCTGGTGAAGAATCATCATACACCATCTTTTAGTTCGAGCGCCACTGTAGAGACATTATGTTTTTTTGAAGCAGGTGTTATAAAAATGTGCAGTGCCCTCGGCGGGACTCGAACACGGACCTCTCGAATACGCGCCGTGGTATGCTACCGTTACACCAAGAAGGCATGCAGAAAGGAGGAAGAAAATATCTTATGCAATAAATAATTTTAAAAATTAAATAGCATGTAATATATAAAACATAAAAGTAAAATAAATATCTGTTATACTCAAAATAGTTGCATTGTACTTAATAAATAATACTACGCCTTGAAATTAATAAAACAGCGGAAAAAACATTTTTTTAATGGAACAATCCTTACGATGCAAATAATTTACAGGACAATAATTTTTGTATGAAAGGTGTGTGATTTTGAGTGGTCTCATATATTTCCTTGGAAATGAATGTTTTTTTGATGCGATTTAGAAAGTACACGGGAATATCTAGAATGATTCGTCTATTTAACCATCAACAACAGCAACAAAAAATAGTGGAATAGGCAAGAAATAATGGGATAGTGTAACTTATAACTGAGAAATAAGAAATTATGACTTATCAATACTAGTCCAAGTACCAGATGCCGAAGTGTCTTCGTTATGAATAAGAAATCTAAATACAAATCCATAAACATATCAATACAAATACAATATAAATAAGCCTAACCTCCAGCAATAGAAATTAAATAAAATAAGGCATAAAAAATAAGATTTTTGTTTAAAACATTTGAAATTAGAGCAAAAAATATGACGGCATTGAACGTTTTTTCGCGGGATAAACTTTAATGAAGAAACATCGCTTTTCATAAAGGTAAGAGATTTCAAAAAGATAACCTTTCGTTTGGGGTTACATTTCGTTTACTATTTGCACTCATGTGGCTGAAAAAGAACTGTTTAAATATAAAGCTTTGTAAATGAATTAAAAAAAGATTCAGTGACTCACAATAATTTTGAAGGAATGTAATAAATTTTCGGAATCAGCAACACAGCCGTATTCATTATTTTGTGGTTTATATTTAGGCACGTATCCGTCGACTCCAGTACACAAGAAGCATTTTTCGACATTCACAAAAAATGATTCTCCCAGATTTTGAGTTGGATCCATCATTAGACGACCGTAGACTGTATCCCCTGAAAGAAAATAAAAATAAAATATACGTTTATTAACAAATTTAATATTACTTTCTATAGCACATGAAACTTTCGCCTATAAATTTAAGCATTAAGCGTGGTATACATATATTTAAGCACGATAATAAGCAACTGAGTGGAATAATAAAATAATACTATTTCTAATCTGATGCATGAATTATAGAATGAAAGAACAGTTTTGGCGTAAATAGTTTATCTTTCTCAGTGCTCCATCATTAAATGGTGCTCATCATTTGGCCTTTTGGGCATAGCATGACAAATTTTCTCAGATCAGTGGTGGTAATGATTCCTAAGCAATTACAAGCTGGCCTCCATTTACTGCGCTCTCGTTTTCACCGGGAAAATAAAATTCTTTATTTCTGCTATATGGTGAAATATGCCCAGGAAAAAAGTTGCTGCATACCCGGAAAAAATTTGCTGCATAGCCTGCTAGTTTCCAACTAAAAGCTATTACTTTTGCTGAGCAGTTCTATAGACGGAACTTAAGTTGATATTATCTACGATATGGGTGATAACGATGTTAATGGCCTGATGAAGAAAGATAATATTAATACACATTTACCCTGTATCAAGTGGAGACATCTGAGAACTGCTAGAAATTCAGCCCTAGATTCAGTTATTAAAAATTTGATTAACGTATATTGGAATTAAATAAAATAATAATTAGAATACTTTCTCTAGTTAAAAACATTATTAAAACGCCTTGGACTTAGGCTCGAAACCTACGCTAAAAATTTATTTATGATTTTAAAATATATTTTAATTAAATGTTGTATTATTTCGAATAAATTATTTTCATTAGTAAAATAACACGCCTATAATGAACGACTTTAAACTCAAAGAGTATGGATATAATAATAACAAACACTTATATAAGAAAAAACGTAGAAATAACAAAACATTATATAAGAAGAGCAACTATTTTCAGATACCTCAAAATGCTCTCATGATCATCACTTAATGTTCAGATTATGTTAAATTTGAATTATACAGGAAACGTTATGTTTTCTACAAAAGCTGCATAACATTTCTTCTCTAACCAAGATTTGAAACATTGCTACCTTGATTTACCAGCCAGAAGTTTCAGCAGTTTATTTGTTCATTGTTAATACGAGTATGAATACCTTAACAAGCTGAAAAATCACATGCCTTTGTATCTGTCATCGATTATTCATTCATAAACATGCAATTCATAATGAGTTCATAATTTATGCATACAGGTATCCATTTTTTTACTTTATCAGGTGCAATGAGATGATGATTTATTAGACACCTTTATAGAATAAAATTATAACATTTGACATTAACGTCTTAATACATAAAAATGCATAAAACAGTAAAAAAGGATTACAAACGAAGTAAATCTCTTATAAAAAATTCCTTTATGAATACATAGCCGTATATAGGAATAGTTATTTAAAAGTTAACATTTATCACTTAAAGTGATAGCAAGTGATGATGTGCCAATCATGTTTCTTCTGTGTAAGATCTTTCTCGGAAAATAAAGAATTAGGAATGTTGACAGAAGATCAAGTAGCGTGATGCTAGATATATGTTTTCTGGTAGCAAATCTTTCAAGAAAAAAGATAAGACCAGATAAAACAAAAGTGATCTTATGAGATTGCAACTAAGCCTTCTAGTCATGCAGGAAAATGTATTTTTTTTAAAAAAATTTTTGCATTTGTGATTAACTTCCATTGCACTGACTTAAGACAAACTAGAATCATTGCATTCGCATGAAATCTAGATCATGTAGTAAGTTGGAAAATTTAGCGAATGTTACCAGCACAAATATGTGTTTATTAAGCATATTTTAAATTCCTATGCTGATTTTTTTTTGCTTGCTTAAATGAGAAAATATTATGGCTAAAAAATATCGCTTTGTAAATAATCGGAGAAATTTTTATCGGATTATCAAACTTTTCGTAAACCAGTGGTCTCAAACTTAAATTCCAGTTCGGCAGAACGCACGATCTGACAGCAGCTAAAGGGCTTGAAATTTTTTTTACCCAAAACTCAATTTTAAATTCTACTTGATAAATATTTACCAAAACATACACGAACAATAATAGCGCAAAAGAAAAAAAATCAAATTTTTAATTATTTCCTATCTGAATGTCTAAAAGTTGATACCTAGAAGAAATTTCTGCTGGTTATAACTATGTAATCCGAATGTATTGAATGCTAAATATTACATTTTAGGCTGACATTTGTTTCAAGTAACTCTAACATATTGATGAGCCACTAAATAGCTTACTTTTAACCTAAGTTAAAAAACCGAAAGAACCAGAATACTAAAATGCCGCTAACTGTGGACAAATTAAATTTACTGATTGTACCAATGTGGGAAATTCCCCTGCCTTATCCTATAGTCACTGGGACCTTATCTTAGAATGGAGAGGGAGAATTAACGGGTTACCCCACAAGTTTAAATTATAATTTTTACTAGTATGGATCCACTCTTTTAAGATAATCCTACTATAATTAAACTTAGGAGATTATATAATCAATTAATCAATATTTTTTAGTAAATAAATTATTATTAACTTACTTTGCAGCAATTGCGCAAGTAGTAGTAACTTGTTTTCGCACTAAATGAATTTAAGATCATACATATATATATATATATAATTATCTTACATATATATATATATATACTTTTGTTTTAGATCTACTTACTTATGTGAATCTGGTTTTTCTATTATTTTTTTACATTTAAAATATTTTTTACATTTACGAAAACTGTAATCATTCCCGTCGTATGATTTTCATACTGAAATTTCATTAGCATTATCTTTGTCATGATATATACCAAATCAAGAACGCTTGCTTGGAGACATGCAGATGCATACTTCCCTTCAATGAATGGGTAATAAAATAAAAATTAATCTATATTTATTCCGCCGTACTTTTCAATTCATAAATATTGCTAATAAAATAACATTTGCGTATGTAGATTGCAACACATTTTTAAGAAAAAATGTCGATCATAAACTGAAATCGTACACCTTTAGGGTATAACTTATTGGATTCTTTAAAAGATTGGCCAAAATGTAAAAAAATTCAAAACAAAATGATGCATCAACAGGAATTTAACAGAGGTTCTCGAACATTCAGACCATTCTTCCTTTTGTAACAGAAATTCCTTCGCAATTCTCTGAGCAGGTCTATCTTTATAATAAAGTAACTCGTAAACATCATGGTATTAGTATATGATTTTTCTGTACTGAGAAAGAATATAAAATGAATCACAGTATAATAATAATATATAAGAATATAATGTTCAATAGTACATAATACAATCATATCACGCACAACACATCATAGTTTATCATCGTGTCTTTCGTATCATCGTATCATCATATTTGTCGGTTCTACGCAGTGTCTATATTGTGAATGTAATCCGAGAAATCAACTTCATTTTTTAACATTTTTCCTTTCTTCAAAAAACAAGCACATTATATAATAAATTTCTTTCCGCTGAATATGCATGTTGTAAAATTAAATATCTCTAGTTGTTGATAAATCCATGAGAACAGTTGTGTAGTTCATTCCAATGGAATTTTTTAAACGTAATTGCCATTAGAAAATCATTATACTCATCTGCGTACTTTGTAACTAAAGAATTTCTTATCTATAATATTTCTTGTAAGTCATTATTTTGCATTTTTTAAACTAAAATCAGGGTAAAATAAGAAAAAGCGACTACCAGAAACCTACCTGGCACAAAAGATGCGTCACTATCTTCTCCAAAGCCCATACTGCCATTGGAGAGCCATAGATCCCTCTTGCGCATCAGATGAAGTTGAGTGTTGAGGCTATACTCAGCTGGCACAGGGTCACTTACTTGTTGGAATCTCACGTGCAAGTCGAAACTTACAGGATCTCGAGGGTTACATTGAGGAGGGTTCGAGTACTCAACGTCCTCTGTCACTGTGCAAGGGATTAATTTCACGTGATATAAACCGGAATAATCTCTAACCTATCAGGATAAATGATTTACATTAGAACTGGAAGGAAATATATTGATTAGAAAATGAATACATTTCAGTACGTAGATGAAATGCACAAAGCTTGAGGTACTTTCGCTTTAGCGCAATCGCGTTGGTAGAAATCGCCAAAGCTTCAGAAGGCGCCAAATTCTAGCAAACATGAGTCTAGCAATTCTCTAGTATTAACAAGCAACGTACCCAGTTTTGTCAGTATTTTTTGTTGCATTTCAAGTTCTATTAATTTTCATACGCAAATCATGTTATTTTTGTTTTACTCTCAGAATATACGTTTGTAATAAATCTCTTCAGTGGAAGAAACTGCAGAACAGCTGCTTTTAATTTATTCATAAAGCCATCGACATAAAATTTCCAACACAACCAAAGAAACCCCCCCCACACTTGTAAGTAAGCTTATTGGTTGATTTTCTAAATAAATATTTAATTAAAAGTTAAAATATATATTAAATAATATGTCAGAATAATGTTTATCAATTATAAGCCATTCCAGAAAAAATCTAGAAAATATTCTAGAATAAATTATCACACTGCGCTAATACGTAAGTACAAAGCTCAAATATTATTAATTTTTGCATAACATTATTCTCTTATGAAATTATAAGAATTATTTGCTCACATATTTCATCATATAAATTTTGTATTGGAGGTAACAAGCTAGCTTTATTTGTTACTTATTGAACAGGTCTCGAACTGATTATTAGAATGCATATGCGCTTATTAGTTTGCGTTAGCGGACTTAAGAAATTTTGACATTCAGTTTTAATTTTTTGAATATATTTATATCTAACTTTTATTTTTAAATTCAAATACATAAAAACCAAATAGATGATTTTACTTTTTTTATTTCTCACAAGCTAATGAAACGTTTAATCTCTTCTGTACGTTCTGTTACGAATATTAATGAAAGACTTAAATCATTTCTTTAATTTTTATTTTACATATATGTTTGAAATCAAAAAGGGTTACTCTTAAGTTTTAGAAATATCTTCCAGAATCTACGTTAGCGTTATCATTTCCTTTTTTAAGTTTCGTGAATTTTTAACAGTAGTTAAGAATAAAATTAAAAATTAAGTTACATAAATAAGAACAAAGACTATAACAATTGCAGTAAAAGAGAAATCTTTAAAATAACTTACATCATATCTTATCATTAATACTATTAACATTACGGAATTTATGTGCAATCAAAATCATTACAACTTACACAATTTTAGAGCGAAATTTATAAAGGAGGTTCAAATTCATTACTTCCTTTCAAATATCGTTTGTAGAATAAAATACGTAAGAAATATAACCAATCATTAATGGGATTTCATAATATTTTACCAGACTGTCGAAACACGTAGGTAAAAAAGCAATAATTTTTTAAATTTACCATATGTGATTATGTTTACGTAAAAATATTACATAAAGAAACCATAAAGTGACATTTCGTAAAATCATATTTTGACAAGCTTTGCAAATATTCACAGGACACGAAAATAGTAGGTTTATATTCAATGAAACGTATTCATCTACAAAGCAAATCGAAAGGGTAGAGGCAACCCTCATGTATTATAATGATTCATTCTCTATTTACCGTACTTGCCGGCATATAAGACGCACCCCTTTTTTATACACATTTTTGAAACATAAAACTTTATTACTGATCATTACAATAAATTTACAGTATTTTAAATATAAAGTAATAGAAATACGAAGTAATACTTTCTGCAAATACCAAATCTATCTGAGAAAGAACACCTTTTAATCTTCTTCGTCAAAACCCAGACATTTATCTCCAGAGCTAAATGAAGAGTCACTTGAAACCTCTTCTAAATCAACATCTGAGTCCTCATATAACAAACTGTCTTCTGTACCATACAGTGCATTACTAATGCCCTTCTTAAATGATTTAAACACTGTCTCTCTTTTCACAGCATCCCAAGAAGCTTTGACCCATTCACAAGCTTGTGAAATGCTAGGCCTTTTCCTTCTTCCTGATGGTGTAACCTCAAAATTTGAAGACTGCATTCAAATGTTCTGCAATTTTTTCTTCATACTCTTCCGGCATTTTTTGCGATATTAATGTTTTAGTTCGCATACATAGTTGTTGTCCCTTTATGAATCTTGAACACCATGATGTTGATCCAGTAAAATCGACAATCTCTCTATCAGTTGCTATCTCTTTCGCTTGATGAATAATCATTTTTGTAGAGATTGAAATTCCCGCTTTTCTGTGGTCTAGAATCCAAGTACTCAGCTCTGCCACACGTTCGTAGGATATGTTGACTGTGAGTTGCTTTTTTTAAGATCCTCATCCTGATTCCGCCAAGTTGTTATCATTTTCTCAGTCGGGGGTTGCCCAAAATGCCTCTATGCAGCCCTATTTCCATGTTCTTTAGCATCCACAAAAACATGTAGCTTGTATGTTATGTTATAGCAATGCCAACGTTGATTTTGAGCCATAACTTGCCAACAAATTTAAGGAAATTGAACAGAAATTTCATACTCTTAAAAGTCTTTCACAAAAATTGAAAAGTTAAAACGAACCCAGCTATGATTGTCGATGATAGTGCATGCGCATTCACTAAACTCACACTCCGCAAGGAAACAGAAAAAAAATCGCATAACTCCGAATATAGGAAATTTCCAGAAATGAATGTAATCAAAAATTGAATATCGGCGAATAAGACGCACCCGTTTTTCAGACCCATTTTCAAAGAGAAAAAGCGCGCCTTATATGCCGGCAAATACGGTATTTTATATTTTTATTCTTCTTATTCTCTATTACTAAATATAATAAAGATCATATTCTTTATACGGTGAAGACGAAGAAAATGACTGTTTGCAATTAAGAGTTCCAAATGATCTATCTGGAGGGCATATCTCAAATGTGTAATATATGTGTAATATAGATGGGAATTAGTACTTTTAACGCTCATCACAAAATTCATTCTTACATAGGTAACTGATATTAGATTTGGTCAAAATCAATAATATTTGATAGAAGAATCATAATTATCGATTTCGCTTGATGAATAATCATTTTTGTAGAGACTGAAATTCCCGCTTTTCTGTGGTCTAGAATCCAAGTACTCAGCTCTGCCACACGTTCGTAGGATATGTTGACCGTGAGTTGCTTTTTTTTAGATCCTCTTCCTGATTCCGCCAAGTTGTTATCATTTTGTAAAAGATAAAATAATCTTTCTTCCAACTTTACTTTTCGATACCTCATTAGCTTAGGTCCCTTTTTGTTTGTCTTCACTCACTCTCAATAAGTTTGTTTACTTTAATTTTTAGAAACTGCACATTTTTGTCTTGCTATCGAAACCTCGAATATTTTTGGACTGTGAATTCTGAAACTTTACCTTTCCATAAAACTCTTTTACATCTATTCTACACCACTTACATTTATTCTTTACATGTAATTCTTTACAAACAGCTTTTCAATATAGAAGTATCGTAACTGGTGGACATTCATCGGGAATACCTAACGTATTTAAGTTTGCTTACTTCCCTAAAAATTAGAAGTATTTACATGATCTAAATACAAACAGATCTACAGTATTCTGTTTTAGCAATCTGAATTTAGGAATGTATAATAAAATGTTGTTAACTTACTGCATAATCAGAGACAAACTGCCACTCTTGTTCTGGTTGAGCAAATGTGGGTTCTGTACGTACAAGCTCCAATGTGAACGTCAAGTCCAGATGATCAGGTGCTAGAACCATTGAGGTAAACCCGGAATCTAGAAAGAGAGCAAAAACAAAGGACTTCAGATAGACTTTCTGATTGCGTATTTTATTATTAGTATCTCTACGCGTAGAGGTAATTTTACATTAACCTGTTAATTTAGAACTTTCTAACATGACTAACATTCAGAATGCACATTTAGCGAACAGTGAATAAGCTTTCAAACACATAAAATATACTTACCAGGATGGCTAAGAACAAACTGGCCTCTAAACCTGGGCTCTGTTCTAAAATTCACCAGCAGTTTCCCATCCTGCCCTATAGTCATTCTTGTTAGATAGAGGTAGCCTATAGTTTAAGAAACGTTGTGTTACAATTAAATAATTGATATTGATTACATGCTGCAATAACAAATTTTATTTACGTGGGAGAGTTAAGCGACTGTTATGCTTCACACGAATTTTTGAACTGCTTTTAGAACTCATCGGAGATTCTACATTGTCACATAGGCCAGCAAGTGAAGAAATCATTTGGTCAAAATACACATTTTTTAACAGCAAAGAAGAAACACGATTTTTTCCTCTCAGCTGAGAAAATACTTCAGTGCCCCATATGTACAAATCTTCTAGCGATATGTTTTACCTCTGGGGATTAGTAACCTATCTATGATCAATAATTAAAGGAAATAAAGCTTGTAGAAATATTTTCTGGAACATCTTGCATATTGAAATATGAAAATTTCTAATGAAACACCAACGCTGTTTATTATTTCTTGAAATACGATAGTAAGGAAGATGCTCTGTCTTTGATATTCATTATAAATCAGTTTAAATGGGCAGTCATTATTGTAAGTAGACAATATGTGCATCAAGAAAGGAATCTAATCTTACATGAATATTTAGAAATTGAACACTTTTAGAACAAAAAAAAAAATGTTAACATGACACATGTTTTTTTTTTTTTTTTGATTATCTACCAGCTACAACACTGGTTAAAATATTTATTACAAATCATATAACTGTGTATTACCCTGGAGATGAGATTCTTCTGGTGCTCCAATGCCATGTTGCCAAAGGATGGCAGTATCGTACACAAAAGTCAGTCTCAATTGAGAACTCAGATCGTTGTGCTGCCAGCCTCCTGTGGCGACAGGGGAGTGAAATATGTACGATACATACAGCGGTACACGGACAGATACGTATGACTGTACAAGATTTAACACCTGAAATGTGAAATTTTTCATTTGAGTTTCATTATTAGAAAAAGGATAATTTCATTTTGTAACTTAATTATCAAGAAATTCCTGCGACAATTTCTAAATTGGTTTCCGTATTTTGAGAATGAAGCGTCCTTAAAAAAATTAATATAAAAAAAAAGCATTTTTCTTTTTGCAACATTTCTGCAACTGCTGGGAATATTTTGATAACTGCACGTGTTATATTCTGCAAGGAGCCTTTGTATTAAGCCGCTATAGTGTTCTTGATTTTTAGTTTCGAGGGTTGTCTCTATTCTAGTATTTTAAAAGAAATATCGAAAGCAAGTGAATATTTATCGAATCCTTATAAAAAATTGACAGCAAATTGTAAATAACTAACCGCTCTGCAAAGTCCTGAGAGAAGTGATACCATTTCAGGATTAAAGTATTTCTTTGAAATCGTTTAGCGATAGTTTGATGGCGATAACTGTGAGTGTAACCGTACAGAATGTACTTTTTTTTTTGTCGCAGGTCGCATCCAATCAAGTAATTTTCATTTCATTTTGCTGAAATGATGAAAGATAGGACACTAGGTACTGTATTTTGCTGCCTTTTTCGGTTAGGGATACGCTAAATTGTGAAAACATATTTAATATTTTTATTTTCCCCGTTCATTAAGGTTATTGAATTAAGATATCCCTCTGTTACCAAGAGTTAAATGATGGTTTTATACATATGTTAGTTATGGATTGTCCCAGCCAGCCCTTTGAAAACGTCATTATGAATGCTAATTTATCATCTAAAACACGCCTAACATTCCTTTTCTTCGTGTTTACACAAAATTTTTGTAGACAAAAATTGAACTCTTTTAGTCGGTAATGTATATTAATTATAGTCTATAGCCTTATAGCATATTCTGAAAAATTTACTTCACACTGCACTTTGAATTCAAACCTGCTAGCATTTTTACTTCGTACTAACCATTTTTAAAGCAATAGTTTTCATAAATTAAAAAGGAAAATTGTTATCTCGTAAAAAGGAAAACTGATCCGTATGTAGCTAAAATGTTTAGGTTTTTATTAGTATGAAAACGCACGATTTATATGAGAAATCAAACATATTTTAATGGAGTTGAGAGATAAATATGAGTAGAATTTTCAAATGATCTGATAAAATAGCTCTTTATATTGATGAGGAATTTCTGTTATGATTTAGATTCTACAGTCAAACTCCGTTATAACGAAAGTCCAAATATAACGAAGGAACATTTTGGTCCAGTCTAATTTCCTACATATTTAATGTTATTTTATATTGTTATAGTGAATTCTAAAACTAAGAAATTGAATATAACGAATCAAATGAATATCTTTCACTGAAATGCTTTTGTATTTTTCGTGTAATTTAAACATTTCTGCAGGTTTTAATGAAAGAATTAGTAACCTTTAAAATCACCCATGTTTAGGATGTCAGGAGCTATATTCCACATTCGTTTCATAAAGAAAAACAACTTTACATTGCTTTTCTTTTATGTTAAACACCACTTCTTTTAGTGTTCTAAACTGTTGGTTTATGCCAAGTAGGTCTGACACCCAGTACAGGAGAAAGAGAATTCAGTAAGTCAATCTTAGGCCACCATATGACGTTCTTTGTATATGGTGCAAGTGTTAAACCAAAGAACGTAAGTGAGTTCTTTGATTTCATTGAAGTTCTTTAACTAAGTTGTAAGACGCAGACTATTTAAAATTGATACTATGATGGAAATTTTGGAATTCTGAATTTTCACTATTCAGGAAGTAGGGAATTTATTATTTTGGATTACATAGTTGATCATTCTTTTAGGAAATGAAATTTTTTTATCCTTGTCAGTTTTTATTTTTGTTTCGGTAAAAATGCTAACCAAGTTCTTCCTCCGAATGGAGATTTTGTACTTTAGGTCTTTTAAATTAGGATATAATAAATTCATAGGATATTCTTTACACAAATTATTGAATCTTTTCTTTGCAACCATCCATATCTGAAGTAAAAATTAAAGGAATTCGCTAACATGTTTTGTTGTTCGCTTTCATACAAATATTTCATACAAAATAAAATTTCATACAAATAATTATTTCATAAAATATAAATTATATAATACAAAATAAAAAAACAGTGTTTTTATATTTTTGTGAGACAGTCTGCTTTTTGTATCGAATTAGATACAAAGAACCAAACTTGCGGTCTCTTTAAGTTTTTTTAGCGGGGTTCGACTGTAAATCAAAGGTCTTTCATTGTGTAGAGTTGCAACAGCTTCGTTTACTCGTTGGACGTGATTTCGAAGTCTGGACTTCATGTCAGAAAGGTGAAAGCTGTAGCACTTAAAATAGCGTTTTAGATAGATATGAAATGATGCTGATAAAAATTACATGACTGTTAATAAAAGTATCAGTTGTGCCACCCTAAATAAATCACATAGCGAAGAAAAATAAATTAACTTACTTGACCATCCGTAGCAATAGTTCCTCCACATTCGTTCACCAGTTCGGACATATCATAATAAGAGCTAAATTCCCACATGCATGCTTCCAAATCAAGATTGCGATAAAACCTGTAAAGAAAAACAGTGCATTATTAACATCTTTTTTTTAAAGCTTAGGTATTTGGAAAGGAGATTTTAGTAATTTCTTTGCTTTTATGACGCCTAAAGCTGCTAAAAATATATCACAAAATTACTTCGCGAATAACTGTTATTTTTTAAACCTAATTCATCATTAATTCAAAAGTTTGCAAAGAATTTTTTTATCTAAAACATTATAATTCTTTATTTAATGTATAATAATTAATTTCTATATCTGTTGTAATAGTTGATCTTCACTATCATCAGAAATAATCATCCTCAAGGTATTATTTAATGCAGGGCGCTTTTCGATTTCGCTTATACCTGAAGTAGATTATTTTTAAGCGTAATAGTTTTCAGCTTAGTTTTTTAAAATCAATTCATGAAAGACAAATGATTCATGAAAGAAAGCCAGTAAGTTTATATGATGGTATCATTGACCTCTAAAAATGATCAAAGAGACAAAGGATTTGTTAACTAGAGGGAGTATACTAAATTTTTGCTTACATTAAATTTGACATTTAAGAGTCGGTTAGATGATGGTGTTATTGAAAGATTATAAATTAGTCTGATAATAATTTTAAACCAATTAAATCGGCTACTGACGAAATGTTCTCATTCAAAAGAGCACTGTTGGAAAATTTAACTGGAAACTCTGTTAGCTGCAAAGTAGGGGTAGAAAAGGTTGACTCTTTGTTGGTATTTTTAAACAATACATTTTCATTAATGTGCAATAAAAGTATGATTCCTGTTTTCAATACAATTATATCAAATAACACCATACTTTATTGCAATTTCAATATGAAAAGTATAAACAGTGAGTGTTTTAAGATAACATTGAAGAATTAGCTACTTCTGCCGCTTGCATGTACCTCAAATAGGTAATATTTATGCATTCAATATTAAAACTCAGTGTCTATTAAAACTAAATACTTTTTTTGTACTTTTCATAATATAAAAGCGCTCATTTTTAATTTATTTCCTTTTTGCATACATTGCTTTATTGTAATTTATCGTGTCTTAATATTTTATAAGCTTATAAGATCTTCATGACTGCCTCAAATGTTACAAAAGTTAAATTTCGTATACTACAAATCAAGTCTCCGTTGTATTTCCAAAGCAATGAAAAAATATGAATTTTAAGATACTGGATCCAAGACTGTTGTCAAAGTTTTAAAATTCTGGCCAGCCTGTTGCTTAAATATAATACTCAATACAGTATGTTGACAAGTCTATAAAGCAGTTCAGTTCTCTGCTTTTGAGAGTATGCGGAACCTCGATTATTCGTCAGTCACTCGACCATAGTCATAACAAATGTACAATAAAAAAATTAAAAAGTGTGTGTGTGTGATTATGGTAAAGCCTCGAGGGCTATCTGCCTAAGAGGAGGGATGCCTTCGTGGAGGACTTTCTAAGGCAAACTGGCTCGTATACACGTTACACATGGAGAGAAAACCACGAAAACGCCCATGCAGCCAGCCCGTTCGCGGGATTCGAACCTCGGACCGAACTACCAGTGTTCAGCGACTTTACCGCTCGGCCGCTGATTAAAAAAAAAAAAATTAAAAAGCTAAATACTCATATACAGCAGATTCGAAAAGGATGCCAGTTTTAAAAATGCTAGAAAAATGCATTATCGTCGAGTTTCCATCAACTCTGACATTTTAATTTCCTGGGTTACGTAAGTTAATTTTGAGTTAGTAAGATATAGTGAAAGACAGAAAAATAACCTAAAGGAGTTAACTGAAAGTTTTTCAAACGTCGACATTTTCTGTCGAATGGCTGTTAAGAAGAAAATTATATAATGTCATTTCCTTCTGTCTTAAAATGTTAACTTTAGAAACTTTTCTGTTTCGAATAGTTTAATAAAAAAACCCTTTCGACGATTTGTTGGTTTTCAAAGTTCGTTAATGACGAGCTATTTTAAAGGAATTCCATGCCTACCTCAAAGTAGGTTCACTCCTCATTTGAGCACTGTGCTGGTATGGCTCCACTTCTCCAACCACGTTGGGATTCTTGGTGGCGTTAGTTAAGAAACCATGCTTAGTCTCCAGCTCATAATAATCCAAAAGATTTGAGCATTTATGGGTTCCTACTCGCAGTCCGTCCGGGCTAAGAGTCAATTCGAAGTTGGTCAGCTTCCTTGTCGAGATCACCGGCAACATGCCATCCCAATGTGGAATGGTGATAGTCAGCTTGATAAGGTTGGGATTTTCTGGATCAGATGGACCTAAATTCAATTATTACTAAATAAGTTATGTATTTGAGTTATATTGGTAGAATAAACTTCGTATACTCTTCTTTAAATGTAACAAACTTCAAATATTTACACTTCAAGTACATATAAAAAAAGATTTATTTAATTTTACTTTCTCAGGAATCTGATTTCATTTTGCCATAGATTTCCTCGTGTTCTCTCTTTTTCAAATGTCTGAGATTCAAAATTTGTGCACTTGCATGTCATTTTCGCAATTTAGTTGACTTTTAAGCAACATTAGATCTGAGCAACTCTGTAACCCTACGACATATCAAATTCCCATAACATTTTTGAGTCCTCTTAAAACGTACTAGTAGCTGACTGTCAATCGAAATCTTTAACAACAACACATATATCGTGCATTATACATATTAGAGCAGGGATACTCAACCAAGGAGGAGTTCCTCTATGGTAGTGGGGAGAATTTTATAGTTTCAGGTGGAGGGAATGAAGTCACTTTGTAATTAACTGCTACGTTGTTAGTTTAAGTTTATGAATATAAAAAACTGCTGTTATTTACGTTTTGGTATTTATCAACATTTTTTATACTCTTTTTGTTTAATTTAAAAACACATTCAAAAATAATCTAATTGAGTTTTGGAAAGGAGGAGGAAATGATTTTCCAACAGTAGTAAAATGAGTGCATGGGACAAAGCAGGTTGAGAACCACTGTATTAGATATTGTATCAATTTTACAATAAAGCAAGCCAGAGGAAAAACAATGTGATGCAAAGGAAAAGGAATTATAAATACAATTTATAATACTGTATTTTTCGATGTCTAAATTCCTGTTTTCTGCAAGACGGCTCGTTTGTTTGTTGCTGCATCTATCAATATCATCTTACACGACACAAAAATATATAATATATATATTACTGAAACCATAAATCAAAAACTAAAACTTTTATAAATATTTTCGCAAATATTTTTGTGTTAGTATGTGATATTAAGTACTAGCATCAACATATACTGTTTTTCACATTCAGTTATTTTATTACTATATAAGGTACTTTCTCCCTCCTTTCCGCATGTCATCATGATGTAACGAAAAGCACGATCGCTCTTATTCGGGAGATCCCGAGTTCAAATTCAGACGGGAGCACTGCAAATTTTTACTGTTCCTGCATCGATATAACCTAGTGACACTACAATTGGTGCCCGAACTAAAATGTGATGGAGCATAATTCGTCACCACCAAGATTTGGCGATTGGGTCCCCTAATACCCAGTCGCCTTCTAAAGAGGCGTATATAAGGTATTTTTTCTCCCTTTTCCGCATACCTTCGTCGTGTAACTGAAAGCATGCTCGACGTGCATTCGGAAAGTCCGGAGATCGAATCCCGGTGAAGGCATTGAATACTTTTCACCTTCCTGTATCGACATAAACTAATGCCTTTACAGCTATTTCTCGGTTATTATTATTTTTGCAACTAATGCCAAAACTAATACTATTACTATAATTATTATTTATTATTATTATTATTATTCTTGCTATTATAATTATTTTATGTTTCCTTCCTAAAGCCTTCTCGTATATATTTATAACATAAACCCTATTTCTTTATAGAAGCGCTTTTTTGAATCCTGTATATAAAAACTTGTTTATACACCCTCTACGTAGAGCCTCGTACTTCAAATCACTCTGCTAAATACATTTTTTATATTTTAACAATAGTATTATGAGAAGATGAAGCTCAATTACATTTGTGTGTCATTATCTATTACAACATCTTGCATTCTTCAAAACATCTTACAAAAGATACGATTTTCTCTGAAAAGAATTAACATGCTACTAACGGTAAAAAGTAGATTATTTGTTGCATATTTCTGATACATCTGGGTAGCTTAACGAAGAATCTACACAAAATACGTTTCAATTAATAAATAAATGCGTGGGGAAATAAAATGCGTGAGTTCTATAAATATGCAGATACAAATTGAGCACATTTTTTGGCAACTAATTATTCACTGTCGCTAACTTTTTGCAGTGTTTGCTCATGTGCAATATTCAAGTCTAACGTTATGAATTTAAAATTAATAATCAATATCAAAATCAATATAATAACATTAATTTCTCAAGAAATTGGAACTCATATTGAAATTATAGCGTTTCTAATCAAGTAAATTTTCAAGTATGCTGATTCAAAAAATGTTAATGCCTATTTTTATTGCCAACAATTTTCGAAAATTGCTGATTTTTGAGCATCATACTAAGCTTTATAAGGAATCGTTACTCAACAGCTATTATGATTGTGTAAAAAATAATTGTATGACATTTTTATTACGATTATTATTATTATTATTATTACGTTGCTATTTGAGCAACAAAATGTTTGAAGGAAGATGTTGGTTGATGATCAATGAGGAAAAAAGTAGTGAAAATATAATTACATTTTTTGTGGGGGGGGGGTTCACACTAGAACACAATTTCATTTGAAAAATAATTTATTTGAACTTTGGAAGAACTTATAACAATCACACTGCTGAATAATTATATAAACACGTACACACTATGAATTTCAAACTGATACATATGAAAATTATTGACATGTTCTTCTTCAGATGAAACCTTTAAAACATAGAACGAACATGTATATTTGGGTTGCCACTGTGACATTAAGAAAAATTTCAATTTTATGTAAAATTATTAAATGCTGGTTTCCAGTACAAATGTTTAATACCGAGGCATACTCTTTAATTAACCAGTATTCATTTGCATCCTTAATTTTGGAGATTTTTAAGCATTAGATCTTTTATTAAATTAATATAAAGTTTTGAATATATATTAATCGCTTTATTTTCCCATCCACCACTTTTTTTCCTTATTTCCAATTTTGTCATTAATCCACTCTTTATGCCTGGACTTATTCATTCCGAACTGGATGTACACTAAACGAATTTTTCCAATAAAATATAAAGGGTAACTAATTGATCTATTCTCATAAAAAATCTTGCTGTTATTATCATAATGTTTTTTACTGATAAAATACAAATGCAATGGATGAAATATATACTGTACGTAAATAAAAAGTTATCAAACATATTTATCTTGTTTGTGTCTCTTTTCTTTTTTCAGGTCATTTCTTGGTGGAGAATCACAAAGTCTAATGTTTACAGAAAATCTGCCCAAAGAATTTTGCTTTTGCCTTCTCTTCAGGAGGTTTCGGTAATGTAACATTGTTTGATAATTCCAGACAACACTATTGTAACTTATTTGAGCTTTATTGGGATGGTTCGTCTGGGAAAAGCTATAAGGTATTTCTCCCACTTCCCTAGCGTGCCTACGTGGTGTAACGTTAGCACGCTGGGCCGGTATTCCAGAGGTCTGTGGTTCGATTCCCGGCGAAGGTGGTTGCATATTTTTCACCTTTTCTGCTTCCAATTAACCTAATGACTCTACAAAGCTTTAACATCCATTCATTTGGCAAAAATTTCCTTGATTAAAGAAACAGAGTCTTCTTTGACCTCCACCTCATCTGAAGCCTGAAAAGAGTGTAGTTACCTTAGACTTGTGGTCCTTCTTCTCAAATTCCTGCAGAATCTGTCTGATTTTTGATTCAAAATTGATCTCGAAAGAGGTAAGCAAGGACATTACGTGCAGTCGTGACTCATCCAGTCGTATTCCAAACAAATACCGTATAGCAAACGCGAAGTTTCGTCATTAAATAATATGTATTATTAAAGTATTTGCTTTAAAGAGCGAGGTATCACTGTATTTTGTTTTCAGTGTACGATGCAATTCTCATGTACGGAAAATCGCGTTCTGTTAAAATGTAAACCTATTATCATTACACATGCAATATTTTTTTCCTATTATTTATTTAATTAAATGTCTGCGTCGTCGAATCCATGAGTTGGAATCGATGCGAAAATTATATGTTGCAGGCAAGAAGTATTTATAACTGCGAATGGATCTTTGTTATCATTAAAAGAAAGATCAACTTCAGTTTCTCCATTCGCTTGCACGATGTTTACTTCTAGAGTACAAGTATTGAGAGAATATCTGACAAATGAAAAAGAAGAAACAATGCAATAATATTAATTGAAATATTTTTCTCGAGATTAATTATAATTGAAATCATTAGTTTATTCAGGCTTTACCTGTATAACGCATTTTAGCAGTAAATGGTTCCGCTCCGACCGAACCTTCAAATTTCGGAGCACAAAGACCTTCATCCTTCGATATAATGACAGGAACGCTGCTCAGTTCCAAACCAGCATCGCCATCTTTGCTAACTGCTCTTGCAGCACATTGTACGCGACTTCCTAGAAAGAAATATGAAGTTACTGTCTTTTTAAAATTAATAAAAATAAAAAGTTATTTCTCCTATTAAAATGATTTTGCTATTGGAAACATTACTTTCATGATCATCGTGAAGCTTTCAGACTATTTACATGTCAACAAAATAAAAAAATTAAAATCCGAATGAGAAAATTTATAAATCTAAAAAATAAAAGATAATCGTCAAGAATTTTTCAACTCTACTGCAAAAATCCGTGAAACTAAAGAGAGTCCAGTGCAATTTAAGTCACATTTACTACTAGAATGCGCTTTAAAAAATGATGCATAAACCACCAATTTCGAATAATAAGTAACTATGCTTTACCAAATGATAACTTCTAAATAGTATACGCTCTATCATAGAAACGTTTCTTTTATCATAGACCACTACGAATTTATTGTTATAATGAATTATCCAAATACTATAAAATGGAAGATCTTGCCGTATTACATTGCCGTATTTCCTCCCATTTGTTTTACTAATAATATCGTTCGAAAATGGAGAGCAAAAAAATATGCGAATAATTTTAATTTCCGAAGGACGAGGTTACGGTAAGAATAAAACAATCGAAAAATATTCATGGATAAAGTACTTGTAACTGTCCCAATTTTGCTTTTTTAAAAGAAGCCTACATTCCAATAATAACACAGAGTAATATTAACATTACAGGTATCTAATAAGACAACTTCATGTTTGCTTCCTTGTAACTTGAGTTTCACCTTTTCTAATTGTTCTCTTTGCTAATCCTCATCTTTACTGCTCCTCTCATAAATGTTTATAGAAGCTGAATGTGTAGATTACTCAACTCGTAGATGTCCGTTTGTGTTTGTGTGTCTGTGATGGTTCGATTTCTGTATTAGTCAGCCATAAAGTGCAACAGCTGGAAGAGACAGGCTCAGCGTGAGCTTCAAACGAAATTCTGGAAGGTTTGTTTTTGTTAATGAGACGAAATAATCACTACGTGAATCCATTTTAAAATTCATGGGAGGTCGTTCTCTGAATGCACTGAGGAAGAAGAAAATTAGGCAAATACTTTTCAAATTCTCAGAACCAGTAAATGACTGATGAACTTAAACTGTGATATAATTCGGATGACTGATGACTTATTGTCGATGCATTTAAAATAAGTTATAAAGTTTCCCGTTTCTATGAGAATTCACTTTCCTATCTTGCAATTGCTTTTGTTGTGAGTGTGAAAGATATTTATAAAAAATTTCGAGAGTTTCAAAATTTGCACTAAGAAGACTATCCCTGGAATTTCTGAACTTATTTAATGACTGTAATACTGTTAATAGCACAGCAAGTAACATCAAATATTGTTATTTCTTAGGAGAATGGAATTGTTCAGCAAGGAAAAACCACTATAAGATAAAAAAAAAGTCTGAAAGGGTTCAGATTTTAAAATCGCATCGAAATGTTTGTTACCTTTTCTATGCTCTCGCTGAGCATTGCAGGTTACCAATCTTATCTTGGACTGAATCTGACTAATGCAATATTTTGTTTTTAAGCTTTATTGGTAGGCATTCGCTTTCTCGCACTTATGACAAATAAATTTCAAAAGCATATAACTAAATATTTAAAAACTGCATGTCTTTAGAATTTCCAATAAAATGTTAGGGTTGCCATACTTTTTTTACTTACTTGTACAAAGTAAAGGAAGTATTGTAATCGCAGAAAATTCCGGGTATCATATTTCAAGGAAAATATCCATTGTGACCACTTTCAAAACCATTTAGACGATTTTTTTGCGTGACATCTGTAGGTACGAAATGAACAAAGGAATATTTTTCAAAGCGGATTCTAAAATTGATTCGGAAGGGATATTTTTCGTGACGTCTGTACGTACGTGTATATGTACGTATCTCGCATAACTCAAAAGTTCGTAGCCGCAGAACGTTGAAATTTTGTATATGAACTGCTATAACATCTAGCGGTGCACCTCTATTATTTTGCTATTGGCCATACTAATATACACTCTTATGCAAAAAAATCGAGCACCAAGAAGGACTTTTCCCATCGTGAAGAAATTTGGTATGCAAAAAATTCTTTATTTATCTTTTTTTGTTGCTGCCATTGTAATTCCGTAAAAAAGCAACTAAAGATAATAATATTACCATGCTATCGAAGACCTTACAGACAACTAAACGACATTGTAGGGCTGCGTGAAGCTGGGTGGTCGTACCGAACAATAAGCCGCCACCTGCAGCGTACAGACTCTGATGTGCAAAGATATTGGCAGCAATGGTTACTATAAGGAAATTGTCAACGAAATGAAGCCTCTGAAAGGCCAAGGAGCACAAATACGAGGCAACATAGGATAATTGTTTGCCATGCCCGAAACGCCCCAACGTTATCATTGTCGACTATTCAACGCACTGCAGCCACGTGTATATCTCCTGTGGTAATGTCCACCATCTCACGGCGCTTGTCTGAGGCGAATTTACACTCACAGAGAGGCCTTTAAGATGTTTGCCTTTGACTCCACAACACCAGCGGAGTCGTCTGAAGTGGTGTCGCAGCCGATTATCATGGCTGCCATCGTATAGTGTTCAGCGATGAATCCCGCTTCACTATTGAATCAGGTGACTACCGTGTTCGTGTCTGGAGAGGACTGTTGCCAGCGACTCTAGGAACCGTCGTTTTCTCAGAATGCGAGGAATGTACGTATATCTTCACAGCTTCTTCATTATTTAATTTTTAAAAATAATTCATCTCGGTAACATTTGATAGCAACTTGAAAAGTGTTTCGGACTCAAAATTGATACGTTCAAAAAAAAGCGAATGAAATGGAAGGACGATTTACTTATCGCGACTTAGTGCTAAAATGGGCCTCATTAATAGTTCATTAAAGATACGACTATACAAAGTGAAGCTTTCTTTTCCGACAGGAATATTTCCTACCAAGTGAGTTTTCAAGTAAACAAAACTTTTATACGATTACAAGTTAGAAAACGTCATGAAACGTTAACTTCAGCGAGAGCTTGAATGAAATAGAACAAAAATTCTCAAATACATTTCGAAATATTTGAAGCAACTTTGGAAGAAATGAGAAATCCCAAAGCTATAAGGATTATGAGGAAGAATAACTTTTATCTTCTTGCAATGATTCACTTTAGCTGCATTTAGTACTTTATTCCCTTTTAAATGCTTTTCTTAGAATTTGGATTGAGATGAGACCGAAGGAAAGTATTGTGAAGGTAATGCTCCCATGGTAGGTAATGCTCCCTTGGAAAGAAAGTAATGAGATATATATATAAAAAGAAATTTACTGTTTTTCATAGTTCGCTTTTATGGTAAACAAAGGTAAAATATGATGTTAAGTTGCCATACTTGAAATTTTTTTTTGCCAGATAATACTATTAAATGTCTTAATTTCCTATCACTTCTTGTTTATCTTAAAATTAGTAGTTGCTGCTAAGGAAAAATAAGCATCATAAATGGATTTAATAATGGTGTGGGGAACTATGACAAAAAAACAGTCACAGAAAATTTTGTATGAGAATGAATTGCAATCTCTAGATTTGATTATGCAATTAAAATGGACAAGCTGTAATAAATATACACGTACCTGAAGTAAAATAAATACTGTCCAATGTAATATGATGGGTTCCCGAAAAAAAAGTTGCTGATTCCACATCTCTCAGCTCGCTAGTGACTCCGTCTTGACCACTGGGAGCGGAAACCCTCCATCGGTATTGTGTTAAAGTATCATTGATACCTTCTCTGGAGCAGATGTTTCCCGTTCGAGAGAAATCCGAGTACTTCGGATTACAAGGCTGAAATAGAACTCTATTAATATGGTTAAATTCTAATTATAGAATAATTAATTAATGCTTCCAATGCATCTGTAAAAGCTTGTTGTTTTCAGTGTTCCAACTGAATTGAAAGTTCTTAATCCTAGATACTCCTATACTTTTACTATTAGCAATGAGAATTAAGGGTAATACACACATTCTAAAAGCAAACGACGATAACAAAATAACACTAATCATCCGAACAGATTTTTAGCTTTTAACAAAAGCATTAATGCGTTTAACAGAAACTGAAGAAAATCAATCATATTTTGAAGACTTATCGTTAAACTTTTTTTATCCACCTCCAAAGTAGTGCCTTTTGTATTTACATATCGATTCAAGAACTTGCACTGTGACTGAAATTATCGCTAGAATTACTTAGTACTTTTCCGTTTCGCCGGAACAAAATCTCGCCAAGAAAACTTTATTCGCGACAACACACTGTATACACATAAAAATGTTAATAAATGTTAGTTCTAAGAATTTTTTTTATTTTGGAGGCATAAGTATTTTAATATCGTTTAAAATTTTTTCAAATTTTTTTTTATTTGTGTCCTTTTGCCACATAAATTCGGCGAGGTAACCTTCTAGATGATGACGTGTCGTTCCTCTGTGTTTCTTATTCCGCCATTTGGCGCTACCTCATAGTCTTTCTATTTTTTGTGTGTGTGCGTTCCAGTTTCCGTATTGACAAAATTGTATTTATGGTTCACTCTGTTTGAAACTTTCCTCTTCCAGTTTTTCAGTGCAATATAATTCATAGATCGGTTTTGCACCTTCACAAGGAAACATTCGTTTGTTTCACGACAAACTCCACCAAAGATCCACTATTCTGTTGTGGTAGAATCCGTCTCGCGTTGTTTTTGCGCTTCGTGAACATACTTTCATCCACTTCAAAGATCATACCAGGTCCTCCTATTTTGCGTTGTTGACGTTTAAGTAAAGAATCCTCATAAACCTCGCGCATGTAGTTATTCCAAACCACAACTGTTCCGTGACTGATTGCCAACTGCTTTTTGCACCATTTAACTAAAGTTAATTCTTCACTCCAACCACAGATAAATCTCACACACTCCAAGAAACTCAATTTCGATGACTCAAACCGTGTGCCTTTCCGTATACTTCTTTTACTGCGGCAAGTTGAAAGGTTGCAGCGCCACTGAATTTCGTCTCCAAAGTATAATTTCATTTCATGATTATTATCACAAATAGCAATGTTAGGCAAAACGTCTTTCGCTTGAAAGAATCTTACAGATTCTTCCTCTGTCCTGGAAAAATACCAAATTTTTATTGGTTTTTCATCTATTTTGGACATTTTGTAAAAAGACGTTAATTTAAGGATTTACTTTGCTTTCATGGTACAACATCCTGATTCGCAGATTCATATCACGTGACTCCAAGTAATCTCATCTCACATAAACTAGCTACAAAATCTGATTCTCTCAGTAATTATCTTCATTAAGTTCAAGTTAAATCTTAGTATGGAATACTAGTTTAAATGTAAGAATTACTTCAATATTATAATTTAAAATTTCTATGTAACTGTATGCCAATATTAAAAGAAACGATTCATCTGAGAAGAAATAGCAGCGACTTGTTGTGAAAATGTGGCGTGAAAGGTTACCAGCGAGGATATTCCGTTTGGCATCGGTTGTACCATTTTTGACGACTTTATCGCTTGCGCCGGTGAAACGGAAAAGTACTAATTATTTTAATTTATATGCTTCCCTTATTTCTTATTTTCCTAAGTTCTACCTGGATGTCGCTTGTGGCGTGAAAATTATGGCACATCACTTTGTATTTCAGCCTTTTTTTAATCTCCTTGATCTCGAAGTTTTCCATTTTGAGACATTGTAGAAGTCTCAAAATACCCTGAAGTACTGATTAGACGCAAAGGAGAGTAAATAAGTTTCAGTTAAAGAATTTCAAAAGAGTACACATCAACCTTGGTTCAAAAATTGGAATAGATACATACAGGTAAAATGAGACTATTCTGAAGTCAATGCAGACCCAATTTATTTCAGGTAAGCTTATCAAAACTTCTTTGATCACGAAGTTTAGAAAATTTCTAGCAACTTAGTTTACCCGATTCTGTGACCAATTATGTAATTTCTTTCATTTATCCTAGGCTACTGCATAAATTGTTATTAACATATTAATCCTCTTTACCTACGAAATACTTCTAATTTAGTTTAATTTAATTAGAAATTTAACATAATTAGTTAATTAGAAATTTAACTTTTGTAATGGACATAGTTTAAATCTCTCTAAATGAGGCTAAGCAAGTGAGAGTAACAACTGCCAAGTCTATCCAAATTCAGCCTTACGTATCGTAACTTTTGGAGAACTTATATATACCAACTTATAATTTTCCGGCACTTTCTGATTATCTGCACCCGACAAGAAGTTGGCAAATCATTAGCAAATTTATGACTTGGAGGAATTTCGGTTAATTTTAGGGTTTTTATAGTTCTACTTATGTAATAAACAATCCTTACACTTATTATAATAGTAAACAGTCCTTTATTACCAATGGTCTTTAAAAAACAATCAATAAATTTTCTTGACTGATTTATCTTTGACCGAAAACGATAATTCAAAAAAGCAGTTTTTACATCACATGGCTTTTATATCGAAAGATAATTCTTTTTAAATTTGACATTGCCAAAATGTGAATATTTTCGTCATTTAAAACATTTCTGTAATTGAAAGTCTATGACTACGAAAATAAGGACTACGTAAGAATTTAAAGTCGGATAAGGCGGTGGGTATATATATATATATATATATACATGCAATTCGTTAATATATATATCAAAGATTAAATTAAGTTAAATATATTAACAAATTGTAATAAATTGCCTAATACTTGAGCAATAACTGCAAAGTAATAAAATAATAATTTATTTACTAATGGATTATTGAGTACATTATCTCCTTAGAGAAAGTTCGTAGAATTGTAGTTAAATGAGATAACTTAGAAGCATTTAAAATTAAATCTTAAATTTTTTTTTAAAAAAAAGAAACATCAATATATACATTTGGTACTGCCGACCTCAATAAAAAAGGGAGGTGCACAACTAGATGTTACAGCACTCCCACATACAAAATTTCAGCGTTCTACAGTTAATCGTTTTCTAATTATGCCAGATACATACATATATGTACAGACGTCACGAAAACATCCCTTTGAATCCGTTTTACAATCGCAAACTTATGAATCATAGTGTAAGTAGGAAAAAAATTATTGTTATTGCTTAGTACTGAATGCATTTTTATGAATAATTTGTAAAGTCATCAATTACTTTGCGGAGTTAAAGATTTGTTACTATTATCACAGTTATTCATTTAATTTTGGATGCTAATATATGTTCTTATTTTTGAGTTTAAGAATGAAATGTTTACTACTCACAAATGAATTAAATTATTACGATTCTCGTTAAAACTGGGCATAAAATAAAACAAATTGAACAGGAAAAGCAAGAATATGGAAAATTTAAGAACAAATAATTTTCTTACCGTTATACAAACAACTGGATACCCGGAAACTGGTTCTTTACTGGCTTTACCGGCGTCATCATAGTCACGTAATGATACGATCATAGGTCTTGTTGGGAATGTTACGTCAGCAACGATATCCATTTCTTGTATGTAAACGATAGCCTTCGGTTCCTGATAATGAAAAAAAAAAAAAAAAAAAAAAAAAAAAAACTGAAATGTTTCAGATTTTAAATTACGTCCAAAGGGGCGTTTTTTAACATTTTGTGTGTTACCTTTCTTTATTAAATATCATGTTCCTCGCACTTAAACCATAAGATCCAGTGCAACAGCAATATCGCAAAATAGTTTGAAAACGAGCATATCTTTAGAATTTCCGATACAGAGACTCACGCGCTGGAGATAAAAATGTTTTTTCTGCAGAACGTTGCCATTGTTTGCTTTGAAATCCTTGAGTTTGTTAATCAAAAATTCGTCAAAGTTTTAAAAAATAGGAAATCGATCATAAAAAAAATTTCAAATTTCAAATTTGGTTTTCCACATGCTCATATTCGTTGGAGGATTACGTTATTCAAAATTCGATGACTCTATGTACCGTTGTTTTATCACAATACGAGAAATATACATACATTTATGCAGATTTTTCATTATTTAATTTTCTTCAAATATAATGCAGGACTCTAACATTTTGTGGCAACAGTTTGAAAAGTGAACCGACATTTATGAGTCCGACGCAAAATGCCAAAACGAAACTAATAGTCCTTTGGGATTCAAATCCCTTTGGACTAAAAAAAAAAAAAAAAAAACTTAAAATAAAATGTAGAATTTTTATTTTGAAATAAGCAATATATTCTAATTTAGAAAAAAGACTATTATTTTAATTGATTAAGTTTATTAAAAGATAAATAATTATTAGTGTTGATATAAATGTTATTTAAAATGTAAAACTGCAAAACTAAAAACATACAAATTGAAAACTGTGTTTTTTTTTTACCAGAAAATAATCTAGAAAAACGATCATAATCTTTCTGCTAATAAACATAAACTTTTAATGGAACTCACGTATTGTTAACGCAAAATTTGTTTTATAATAAATAGCTTGAAGCCTAACACCTATTTTTGAAAAATTTAAAGTAAAGAACTTTAAATTTTCATAGTAATTTTAAGTAATTTTTTAATATTATAGTAAAGAACTTTAAAAGACGTTTCAAACGAACTTAAAAATTCAATGATAACGATGAGCATTTGCAAGTTATAAAATTTACAAATCTTTTAAAACTTTTGTGATTAATATTTATGCATCTTTTATTAGAACTGATATTTCAATGACAGGATTTTAAAAAAATGTTTTGTAACAATGCATTACTTTAATATCCTTAAAAATTAAAATTACGACATTTCGAAATTCATTTTGATAATAATGAAATCATATAGTATAGTACATAAGTAAAACGGTTACTGTAGCCAGAATAGAAAAACATTAAAAGTTGATAACTTAACGCTTTTTGTAATATTAAGAAAAAATGAGCTTGTACTGAGGTTGGTTTTATCACTCTATCACTTTCGAAGGCATCAAATAAGCGGTCTCTTTCTCTTATTTCCTCTGAGGAATAAAAATATTCTGTCAAAATTTTACTTTTCCAACATATTATATATCGAAGATATTCTGTAAAAGAGAGCAATTAACGCCACTCTATTATAGAATTTTACACAGAACCCAACGACAATAACTAACGTTTGTTAATGGCATTTGCACCGTGTTCACAAAAGTTCTCATTTGACCTTTATTTTCGCAATCTTTGTTCGTAGAGATCTAAGTTCACTTGCAAGAATGCTTTAAATGACGCAAGTATTCATGTTCAGGCATTTTAAAATTTATAAAAATGTATTTAATAAAATTTGTATTACTTAAATAATTTAAAAATTAAGAAGTACATTTTTTATGCTGTCCTGCGGTCCAATAAGAATAAAATGCAAAACATTTGACTCCCATACGGTAAAAGTTGACCGAGATATTTAATTTCAAATTTTTGGGGATAGTTGACATCGTTTCTAACTTGCCTTGAAGAATCGGTTAACAAATTAATTGAAAGAATTCGGGGTTGACTTTTTTCCCCTTAAATGTCTTTTACTTATGTTCTTTTGTGATTTACTATAAAAAGTAGTGTGAAAAATAGTGTGGATACTATAGTGTGGAACAATGTTTAATTTATAATTTTGTTGCAACTGCTATGATGATAAAATTTTCACATAAATAATTTATAAATTTTAAAACGCTAAAAGTATGTTATTAACTTGCTCCTGAAGTTTTATTCCTTTAGAATCATTACTTAATAATCTTAAAAATTCATTGAACTAGAGATATTTTTAATTTTAAAATCACGCAAATGTGCCCGCTGGTGATTTTTTGAACACGAATTTTATGATTCTGTAAATAAAATCTCCTTTTTGAAAAAAAAATATTGCTGATTAGTATGTTATCCGATAATTTGTATAGAAATGTTCGTCATTTAATCTATTAACATCAGAACCTTTTTTCTAAACTGTGATTTTATTTTTAGATACCTACAAATGCAAGCATTTCGCTCTTCAATTTGAGTATGGCTCTTGAATATGATTATCAGCTTTAAAATTAAGTATCGAGGTCAATTTTTGTTGTACGGGAATGAAACCTTTTGTATTTCTTATAATTTGCATAAAAATGTTTTAAATGTAAGTCTCGAGACAGGAGGAACATATAAAAAGTTAGATTTTGAAATTTTAAGAAAAATTCCAAAAATTCTTTTTTCAAATTTAAGAAAGCCGTAAGAATAAATATTTACGTCATCTGAAACATTTTTGTATTTGGAGGTATAGATCTACGACCAAAGGTTGTGAAAATCAAAGCCAGCTAAGGACTTAGTGAACACGATGTATATTGTCTATACTTTAGTTTAAACTTGAAATAATTATAGTATTAGTTACGCTACAGGAAAATCAATCACTAGGTACAGCAGGCAGCGTGTTTGCATTATTAAGTACATGCTTAAATTAATTCTAATTTGTGAAATATTTTTCTACACATACGGTCTTGTTCATTGCAGCTTACTTTAATTTCCGCCACTAGCTTTCTGTCTGGCTTCAGATGCAGAGTAAAAGCCTCCCTGTGCTCTTTCTCGCCATCATACAGAATCTCGACCTCTACCTCCAGTCGACTGACGTTTGGTTGGAACTGCAGCTCTGTCAAATAAATAAAGAACATAAAGAAACCTTTAAGCATGTAAAGTTACATTTATTATCATCAAATTGATTTATCCTCAGACGTCGGTTCTACATATAGGACAAATCTAAACTTTGTAAGATGTTTTATAAGGAAAATCGGGTTTCATATGTAAGATAACATATCACATATGACACTCTATAGTTTAAAAGTATTTTTTACAGAATTGGTTTGACTAGAATATATTTAAGAAAAATTAAACAAATACGATTTTCTTTTAAAATGATAAATTACTTAATGGATTTTTTAATGCTAATTTTCCCGTAAAAACCTGATATATTTTTTAAAAGAGTTAAAAAAAAAGGAAAAGAAGGATCGTATTTCGTTAGAGCAAATATGGTACTTTTATTATGAAAGCAAACAGAAATAATAAAATAACTGTTAGCAAAATACTGAGTTAAAATCAAAATTTACATAAGTTCACAATATCGAGAGGCAACATTACAGCTTTGATGTCGATAACGAATGATTCGATCTAATGTATTTCGAGAGACAAAACAGGAGTCACCAAGAACAAATTAAAATTGGAAAAACAATTTATTTCTGAAGGGAAAAGACCACTGTTCTGTTTATATTAAAGTCAATACCAAGGACACCATGCAATTCAAAATTATCCGATTCTAGAGGCTAATTAAAAGAGTTATTTTAACACTTGCTTGGCAGCACAACTATTAAAGATTTAATTCTTAATCTTTTTAAACAATTCCTATGTTCGTTACCAAAAACTGCTTAAATCTCTGAGTTAGGAATGTTACCAAACTTTTGCTGTCATATGTCACTTGTTCTTAATGAAGTGCATGCCCACCAGCGGTGGAGCGGTAAATTCGCTGAACACTGGTTGTTCGACCTAGATTCAATTCCAGGGAACGGGCTGGCTGCACGGTCGTTTCCATGGATTTTCCTATGTGTAACGTATATACGAGTCAGTTTCTCTTAGAAAGTCTCCATAAAGACATCCTCCCTAGTAGGTAGATAGCCCTCGAGAGCTTTGCCATAGACAAGTAAACCAAACCTTAAGGAAGTGCTTCTACCACTCAGACACATGTTGAATAAAACATAGTGGATCTAATGACTTGGTATTCCACATTTAACTTTTTAAGTCCCCGACACTAGACCATACAAGATTTTCCTTTGTTGGTATGCTTGAGATAATAAATGTCCATGTAACATTCCCCCCCCAAGCCTGTATGATTTCGAAATATCACGCTGGGATGCCAGCAGCAAATAGCTTCGGAGACATTTCCGAAATATATGCTGGAGAAAGTACGATAAAAGCTTCATGATTATCCTGAAATTATTCGTGTAACGAAAGAAAGAGGCACAGAAAAAACAGTCTAAAATAAAGCTTGGAGAATTTTCATTCACTTTACGTATTATTTTTCACGCTATGTTCATAAATAAAAAAAATGAGGTCATTTGAAATTCGATTAATGGTTTTGCATTTAACAGAAATATTTTATCTTTGAGAATTCAAGATCTTGCGTATATGCAGAGATAAAAATTAATTTTATATTAGTCTATGTGTAGTGTAATCTTCTGAATTTTTATTTCTTTGTTTCTTACCTTAAGCACTGCTTTTAAATTACACTACATCTATACTCAATGGCTTCACATACGGAAAATTAGGTACTTGTCTTTTGTAACAGGTGTTATGGAAAATGGTTATATATTATTTTGTTGTGCACAATTATTATATTATTTTACTGTGCTTAATAAATTTGTATCGTTCGTATTTAAGAATTAATGTATAATATTTAGTATTGTTTAAACTTTAACTCAATTACGGCAAAGCTCCTTTAAGTTTAGCTGAAGATGTGATTCAGAAAAAAGGGCGAGGATTGTTACTTCCGTTTCCCACGAAGCGGTTAGTTTGCGGCCAACTGCATTTTCCTTTCTTTGCGGGGGTTGAAAACACGTGTTTCGTTCAGAGGCGAAGAGTTCTAAAGAGCGGCGATTATTTGACAGAGTTATAGGTTGGAAACATTCTTCTGTTGCTTGGGAAAGAAAGGGTCTGTCATCTTGTAGAGAGATCTGAATTTCTTCGAATTCTTGAGGTTATTTATTGCCTTTGTTCTAGTGGCTTAGAAGGGTCCAAGTTTTGTTAAAGGTTGGCTAAATTTTAATTTTAGTGTTGTTTGAGCCAATGGTGAATTTGAGGTGTTTCCTTGTGAGTATCAACCGAGTTTTCTTAAGCCGTTACACGAGAAGCAGAAGCAGATTTTAGGAGATTTTAGCAGATTTTGTTTAGCAGATTTTTCGGGTTTAATTCATAGACGGCGGCTCTTTGGGGCTGGCCGCGGTCAGTGATGTACTGCTGCATCGAACAATGGGTGATAGCGGATTTGTACGCGAGTTCTGACCAACTCTTCTGAGTGGGAGCTTCTTATCAAGTAAAATTCCGAAGGTTTCGCGCTGTGGTGCCTTGAATAGACTCCAGTATCGGTTTCTTTAACAACGATGAAGTAGAACTATGAGAAAATTCCCGTTGTGCTTTGAACAGACATCAGTATCGGTTTTCCTGACAACGATGAAGTGGAACTATGAGAAAATTCCTGTTGTGCTATGAATAGACTCCAGTATCGGTTTCTCTAACAACGATGATGATAGTATTGAACTAAAGGGAGTGGCTTCTTTTCAAGTGAAAATTCCGAAGGTTGTCGCGCTTTGAACAGACATCAGTATCGGTTTTCCCTGACAACGATGAAGTGGAAACTATGAGAAAATTCCTCGTTGTGCTATGAACAGACATCAGTATCGGTTTTCCTGACAACGATGAAGTGGAACTATGAGAAAATTCCTGTTGTGCTATGAATAGACTCCAGTATCGGTTTCTCTAACAACGATGAAGTAGAACTATGAGAAAATTCCCGTTGTGCTTTGAACAGACATCAGTATCGGTTTTCCAGACAACGATGAAGTGGAACTATGAGAAAATTACCATTGTGCTATGAACAGACATCAGTATCGGTTTCCCTGACAACGATGAAGTAGAACTATGAGAAAATTCTCGTTGTGCTTTGAACAGACATCAGTATTGGTTTTCCTGACAACGATGAAGTGAAACTATGAGAAAATTCCCGTTATGCTATGAACAGACATAAGTATCGGTTTTCCTGACAACGATGAAGTGGAACTATGAGAAAATTCTCGTTGTGCTTTGAATAGACTCCAGTATTGGTTTCTCTGTCAACGATGAAGTTGGACCGTTTTGTTTCGACGTTTTGTAACTGGATCCCAGCAGCTGCCCGAGTCCCTCAGGCTGCTGGGTATGCGGATTCCGTGAGAAAACATTTTTATTTTCATTTTGCCTTTCTTTTATAAGTAATAGTTGGATTTTGGTAGAGTTAAATTCTAACGCCTTAGCTGACTTTTTATGTAGATTAAAATTTATATTTTGCTATTACTCAATCAATTAATAGTTGCGAAAGTGTTAGTTTCCTTTTAATGTTTAATTGCCATGAGTTTAAATTTTTGAGTACATGTTTAGAAGGTTAATACGAGGTGTTTCATTATGATTTTGTTTGACGTGAATTATGTTAACAATGAGATTGAAATAATGAGTAACTTTTAAAAGGATTTTATAGGGGTAGTCTGGCCAGCTATCTTAGATTATAATATTCGGAATATTTAATAAACGTGTTTATTGATTTAATTATTGTATGTTTTTTTTCTTTCTTTTTAGTTTTAATTGTGGTCTACTGTAGGTCACCCATGTGATCCTTACGGAACATGGTTATTCAATCGAACCTGGGTAACCATTTTGCGGTGGTAGAAAAAATCACATTTAAGAGTTGTGACTATACGATCGGCTTAATTAATTTATTTTTGATTTTGTGAGTGGACTTCTTTGGTGAGAGATTTGTCTTTCCCTGGTGTTTTGAAGAGTTTTGTGCAGTATTTTAAATGTAGAATGTTTTAGCGGGGCTATCTCTAGATTTGTAATGAAATTTATGTGTTTTCAGGTTGGAGATCTGAATTAGCTTTATTTTAGTGAGAGATAGCGTGTAATGATTTTGTTGTGGAAGTGCATTTAACATTTTGTTTTGATAAATATTCTTTGATTCTAACAAAACACCAGAGAGGATATTTTGCTTTGATTTTCTTTGATTTTAAAGCGTTAAGATTTTGATTATGAGAGTAAGTGTTTAGTTTAGTTTTAGTTTTAGTATTTTATATGTCGCGGCACCAAAAAGAAGTAGTGAGTGTAAAAGTTGAGTTTAAATGTTAAAAGGTAAATTATTATTTTACTTTACGTAACACGGGATTGGCAAGTGAAAACGGTATTGGTGGGCGTAAAATGTGATTTGTTGTCAATTTTTATAAGCATGCACGAAAATTAAATCGACTATGATAAACTGTAATTCATTCAATATTTACACAATATAAGGTATTTCATACATACATATAGAAAGAATTTAATATAAATTTGTATTTACTATAGTATATTATAAAATTTTGTCAACAACTTTTTTAAAATAACGCAATTTAACAGAACATATTTAAAACATGCATTAATTATTACAATTACTTAACTAACTTAAATTAACTTCACATACAAACACGCCAGAAAATACTATTTATTCCTTTATTAAATACTATTTATTCCTTTATTTAATACAATAATGTTAGAAATTTATTAATATATGTATGCAAGAGAAATAAAGAATATGTGAAAGATAAATTATAATTTAATTTAGCAGCGTAAATTAATTTCCCTTCTCTATTCTAAAAATAGTAATTTCTCTTTGCACTGCGTTATTTCGAGAGTAATCCTTGTTATGGGAATCTTACATAATTCTGATGATGTAAATTTAACTAAAACTCAAAGCCAATAATAATTTTACTGCAGTACTAATTATCCAATCAAAATGCATCGAGAACTAAAATTAACTCAGTCTGAATTAAGATTTCATCCTGAATATATGCTACTGTTCGGCCTAACTGGACTGCTGCCTGCTGTCCTCTTGTTATTGCAAATCCATCAAAAATATAAAAATTTTTAAATAGGCACAAATGATGGGCCAAGTTGTTTGCGGCTGTTGTGTAGAGAATTTGTCTGATAACGGTATAAAAACTAGGTGAATGATTTTCTGATTTATAGAAATTTTAATTTTATTTGATTCTGAATTATTTATTTTAAGGCTTTAATTTTGGGGAAAAACAGATGCTTCTCGGAATATTATTTAGTTTAAAAGAATATTATTTATTTTCCTCTATTTGCAAATCTTGTACAAACTTTGATTCATTGTGAAAGAAGCAGGGAAAGGGAGGCAATTTTTTTGCCAAGTCATGATTTCGCGCGCTTGTCCTTTAGAATGTTCTAGAAGGAATTTTCATTGTGGAGTTGACCTTAAGAGAGGAAGTACGTGACAAAAAGGTCAAAGGTTGCTACTTGTCTTTCAGTGTAAGTCATTCAGGTTTTTGGCGATTGAGGGTCCGGTTGTTGGCCAAAGTGAAGAAGGGCGCGCATGCGCGATCACCCTTATTTCCGCATTCTGGAGTTGAAAGCGCAAATTTTGCCAAAATTAAGGGGGCGATAAGTGAAGCCATAGTGGGAGCCCGCGTTTGTGAAGGAGACGAAGGAAATTCGAGTTGGATTCACTCTCTTACTGACTGGCGTGTGGAACTTACTTTGGACGTTACTCGTGAAGCTTGCTCTTGGGATGAGCAAGAACAGGCGAGCCGTAATTGCCTAGAAAAACGTTTCTGGCCGGGAGCTGCAAACATGCTCTCTTGCCGCGTTCTGTTAAAAAGGCGAAATTTGAACCAGCTACCTGCGTGTTGAATTAAGACCTTCAAGACCAAGCGGATAGCAGTGCTCCTGTTTCTGTTTTACAGACTTAAAGAAATGCTTCGTCATTATGAAAACCAGTTACCTGCGTGTTGACTTAAGACTTTCAAGACCAAGAGGATAGCCGTGCTGGGCAGCAGTGCTCCTGTTTCTGTTCTACAGAGGTAAAATAATGTCGACATTATGAGAACCAGTGTAAAGATGAGCCCCGCCGACGTCAACGCTTATTAGGACACGAGTCCTCCACTTCAAGATGTCCACCCAAGTTAAGTTCTATTTTTTGTGTTTGAACTTTAAGTAAGTTTTCAATAACTTTTCTTAGAATGTAAAAACAACGTCGAATCTTAAATTAATTCTCAGGCCTTAAATTGTTTCCCTTTCCCCTTTTAAATTACCAAGACAAACCTTAAGTTTTTTTTTATATGAATTTAAATGAAAAAAAAAAGTAAGTAAATGACAAATTGAATGAACTTCCTCCTTAGACTCTCAGATGAGGATAAGATTTTATTTTATTGGTTGATGTAATTCGAATAAACTGATATTTAATCTGGAAACCTATTACAGTATGTTTTCTTTATATACTTAATATGTTTTTCCTATATATCTTGTATATGTTTTTCTTATGTTTACGATCTTTCTCACGGCGCGGTCCCGGGATGCAATTTTTTCACAACGCAAATGCATTAAAACCGTTTCACTATACGATCACTAAAAGTTTGGTAATTAGCAAAAATTCTTAAGAGTTTAGTTTCCTCCCTAAGAGGAAGTAGAAACCTTTCACGGCAAGTAGTTTCTTATTTAACAATGGTACCTTGAAGTAAAGCTATTTAACATTGGTGCCGAAACTTCAGATTTAACACGGCCTCAACATGTTTACTGAAAATAAAATGAAGATTTCATTTGCTTGGGCTGCCATTTTCCTATATTATTATTCGATTAGCATTCTACGCAATCAAAATTCTTGCTCTTCATTACGGATTCAGCCTTCTACGTTCTACATCACCAATACTGCAAATTTCTTTTTATTACACGCACACACACATATATATATATTGATCTAAAATTATGTATGATTAATATACATATATATATATATATATATACCGGAAATTAATTGTTTACAGGCTCTTTCTTCTCCAAGACAGCTGCAGAAGACAAGCACCTTTTTGGACTGTTTAGTAATTACAATATATCTACGTTCGATGCTTTAGACACACAAGAAAAAATATTAAACGTTTCAAAATGCAAACATCATAATTATAATCGCTTGCAATAAAAGAAAAGAAATTATTTACTGAACTAGCTTACGAAACCTTTCGAATAAGGAACATAGTCGACACCAGACTTTGCTGATCCGTCCTTTGTGTGAATTCTGATGAGTGACAGCTTAGAGAGATCTCCTGATCTAACGACTGGAATTTTTAGGATAGAAGATTCTCCAGCTTTTTCCGGCTCCTTTACTGTATAACGGTTTTTCTCGAGTTTGATGATTGGCTCTGTAAAAATAGAGATGCATAAATATATAAGCTTCTTAAGAGCTTAGATAGAATTCAAAGATTAATAGAACAAATTAATAAACATTATACTTGAAACAAAGTGTGTTATCACGGAACGTCATTAGATCCGAAACTTGCAGTAATGTGGCGACAAAAGACAAATTCGTATTGCTATGAAGAACATTTAGCTATACACCATATCCTGAAAAGTCTAGACTTTATTTTTAGCAACGGTTCATCGTACACATATATTACAGAAATGTTTTAAATAACATAAATATTCATGTTTTGGCCCTTTTAAACTTAAGAGATGAATTCTGTAAAAATTATGAAATCTAACGTTTTATACATTTTCACGGTGCTTACAATAGGATTATTAAAGATAATTTTATCTTCTTTATAAAAGTTAAAATACAAAAGTGTGATCCCCCGTACGACAAAAACTGACCGAAGTATTCCATTTTAATGTTTTTAAATCATATTCAGAGACGGTACACAAAAATTAAGAGCATAATGTTTTCATTTATACGAAATTAAACATAAAATATAAGTGTAGAAAAAGGTTTCTGATGTTAACAGATTAAGTGACGAGCATTTCTATGCAGATTGTTGTTTAAAGTCTTGATCAACAGACATTTTTTAAAAGGAGAACGTATTTACAGAATTATAAAATTAACGATCTAGAAAACACTTCCAGCCTTGCTTATTGTCGCATAACCAACTCGTAACATTATTTGCAGGAATTACAAATTTTAAAAATTTCTAGCTCAATAACTTATTTTTTATTATAAATACTGAGAAAAAGTAATTCAGTAATATAATATTTATCATTATGGTATTATCATACTCTCATTATAATTATTCTCAATTTTTCTAATTATTATCTTTCTTTATTCCTTACCATTATGTAATTTTATTTCTCATTATTATAACTAAAAATTAACAAAATAACAAAACTTCATGATAATATCAATAACATACATTTAACATTTGAAAACTTATATATTAATTTCTTTTGGCATACCAGATGTATGCTGAATTTTTCCGAACTATTTATTGCAAATTTACATCTGTAAACCAGAGTTTCAAAGTAATTTCATGAAGCCCATGAATAGATTTAAAATATGTATTTGTTGCAAAGGTTTCAATAGTTTTATTGATTTGAAGGGGAATAAAATTTTTCAAATAAAAAATACATTAAAAAATTTAATTAATTTTTTTTTTAAAAATTAAAAATAAATAAACTTTAGTAAAAATAATTTTATTTATACTCGGATTTCAAATAAATAAAATCATTTTTAAGAATTTTATTTATTTGAAGTACGAGTTTACATTATTTTCATTACCATTAAAAAGGAATGCGAACAACACCCTAGTAAATCTACAAATGGATCTAATCAAATCACAGGGGAATATAAATCTTATTCAAAGATATGAAGATATAGATTTGATTAACTTTTATTCATAATTATCAAAAAATAAATATGCTAAGTTACGAAATTTTCACTGAGAATAATCGCTTTGTTTGAGAACACATTTATATCTAAATAGTTTTATTTTATAGCTGAAAATTAGTAATAAGAAAAGAACCCGATTGAACGATAAGTATGAACAATCCGTGATGAAGATAATTTCTAGAATTCTTTCTTCAGTGCACGTACATTAAACAAACAAATATGGTATTTACAAAAAAAAATTATAATTATTTCTGTACAAACACATGTATTTTAATTTATGTGTTAAAGGAAAATTTAAAAGGTAAAAGATGCTGAGTTGTCAACATTTATTTTCAAGTTTTGTCTCGTTTAAAAAGTTTTCATAATTTGTTTATTTTAAACTAAACTAAGTTATTTAAAGTTTAATTAAAATGTTAGAACTACTTTAAATAAATATTAGTTTTAAAATTTAAAATTTAGCTACCAATGTATTTGAATAACAATGTGCAACCAAGAAAATATCTTGCAGTTAGCAACCTTTAGATTTCAGCTAGAAAATAAATACAAATTATCCCTCCCATCTGTGATATATTATTATTGTTTATGTATGCTTTGATAAACACTTTAATAAGCAAAATTTAAAATATTTTGTATTTTGTTAAGGAAAAATATCTTTTTTGTTTAAAATAAAAATTTCTGACCCGTCAACTGCTTGCAGATCGTGCATTCGGCCTGCATAAAATTTGAGATTAGTAATAAATAAGCAATTATTTTATTGTTGCCTTTTATCTACAACAACTACAGAAGTCTCATCAATCTCATTTTCTTTATCACAATATAATAGAAAATCTTTGTTTACTGAGTGACATCCGTTCTCTAAAAATACACAGAACGTTTCTTTAACAGTTAAAAAATATCTAAAGTTCGCGAGCTACAATGCCTTGAATGATGTAAAATAACTTCTTATACAGTCTGATACTTTAAAATAAGCACTTCAAGGTCTTATCAACCTCCTTCATTTTCGATTATAATACATGTCGCCATCACCACACAGCCCTTACTCATTGGATACCGTAATTCATGTCAGCCTCAATTCGGGTGCTTTTCAAAAAGCGAAACGTGATAAACAGAAAAAAAAAAAAAGTGAAGAAAAAAGCAATAATTAGGGAATTTGACCATTTGCTGCAGCTGTCTTTACTATGATTAGGAGGCAATCAAGGTGAGATAAAATGACCCTGAAGTGCATATCATAAAGTAACAGATTAAACGTAGCGTCCACAGTTGTCGTGTTATCGTCCCTACTGTTATTTACCTTCTAACAATGTACGCAATTCAAGTGTAAAATCAATTCAGAACTTTATTAAATATTCCTGGTAGGTTAACTTTAATGAATTTTGGTACAATAGCTTATGCTGTAGGCTACTTGATTTAATATTAAGATCCCATAGTTGTTTGCAACAGCAACTCACATCTCAAACTTATAAGACCTGCACTGAATCTGATGCAACAAACTTCTCAAACAACTTACCAAACACAACCGAAACCTCTGGGTATTTCCTTTACAATTAATTATTACAGGCCTCTTGCACAGGCAAGATGGCAACAAAGCGGTTTAAGCTACACTCTGCTCACAGTTAAAATTAACATCCTACTTTTAAATTATATCGTTTGCCATTCAGTTCGTATAAACTTTCTGGTATGAGCGAGTATCGCGATTATCTAAGAATCATAGAATTTTAATTGAAACTGCAACTACTCACTATTAGTAAACTTGTGAATAACTGCCAGAAGTTTAACTTTCGAGGTGAGATGGGTTCAAGTTGACATTCTTCTTTGCATCCAGCATTAGTGAGGAAATAATTTAAATATTAATTGCTGCAACTTCTACCTTCCCCTCCCCCCATTTAAGAAAAACTCAAGCTGCACGTTTTATTAGTTATTACGAAATCCCAAGTTCATTATATGAAAAAATTAGATGGTGATATGTGTACCTGAATAAAGCAAATTTAAATATTACTTAAAATATGCACGATTTTACAATATGTGCTGCTTTCCTTGTACATGTTTCTTTTTTCCTCAGTATAACAGACAAGTATGGTGGTCAGCTTGAGGTTGAATAGGAGTTTGAAATTTTTATTATCGCCCCTGCAGATGTAATAATGTTTAATACTTTCTGGAAACACTGCGCAACATTCTGAGTGATTAGAGGGTTTAATGACTCATGGATTTAGTTGTTCCATGCGTTAAGTAAATAAAAACATGATACTGATGAAGAAGGTTTGTAAACTTAAATATTCCCATTTTAAAATATAATTTAGTTTTGATATAAAATGCAAAAATTATACTACAAAACTTACTGTCATTGTCATCCTTTATAGTGACAATAGTTGTATTTCTATATCCCAAAATGGCTCCTCCTGCAGAATCGCTGATTGGAGATCCAAGAACCAATCGAAATTCCTCATCTCCTTCGTAGATGGAATCGTCTACCAGAGTTACGGAGCACAGTTTTTCCATTTCGTCTAAAACACAATTTTTTTTTCTAATTACTGCATTCTTTACTTTTATAGAACTGAAATTCAAACTTACTGCACTCAAGTAAATCATTTTGCTCGTTTTATTTCTACTAAAAATTAATAACAGAATATTTTAAACAAGATTTACGAAGACATAAATGATTTTCCTGAAAGAACTGGCAAATAAAAATATTTTTATAAAACGAAGTCTGAGTATACATTGATTTTTCTAAGGCATTATTCAAGAAACGGAAATTATGGGTATATATCACTGAAATTTATACAAATTTTATGAATACAAATCATAACTCCTTTCTAAACAATATTTTACAAGAACCTTCGGATCATCCCGTGTATATGAGGGTATGAATAAATAATATTTCTTATTAAGAAACAAATATACTATACGTACATATGTGTTTGTGTTTTTCTCTCTTTCTCTCTCTGTCTGTATGCATATATATATATATATATAGAGAGAGAGAGAGAGAGATAAGTGCGTGTATTTGTGCAAAATTATACCTTAAATTAGTAGTACCCCCTTTATTCTTCATTCTAATTTACGTATTTCCTCTCTCTATTCTAAAATCAGCAATTGCTTATAATACATTTTTCTGGTTTTCGTCATTTTTAGATTAACCCATATCACATGACGTTTACGACATAGCTAATTCGGAACTTCAAACCAAAATTGCAAGAAATGAAACTTTTCTCTTAAACTAAGCTACCATACTGAATAATAACGGACTTTCCTCCTGCTTCTCAGAAAAGATACACTGAGGCTTCCTACTTTTCTTCTTATAAAACAAAATGAAAGATGAAAATGCGCCAAATTATTTGTGGTTGCAAAATGTTTAATTACAGTAAAAGCATTATTAATTAAATATACTGCGTCTGCACGCAGCATCTACTGCATCACACGACTTCTAAGTTTTCTTCATTACAGATCTCCTATGTGTACTTCAACATGTATCTGTGACATTCCCAAATCTTCACATATATACTGGTAGCAATGTCTACAAATTACTTTAAATAGTTTGAAACTTTCCTGAAACATATATGATAAGCTCAAACAAGAATTGTAAGTGGTAGCCAAAAAAAGAGAGGAATACTTATATTCAATTTAAAAAAGAAAATGGAAAATTTGATGGTACGGTAAACAAGAGATTAAATGTGAATAAGAAAAAATTGATAACATGAAACTTGAAAAGGAATATTATTGCCTTGAAACCGTTCATTGTAGAGGGGCTGAGCGAGTTCAACTCAGGCAATTGCGTTCCAATGCAGAAAGTCTAATACAACATTTCGTAGAATTATAAGATGTTCTTAAATTTAATTATAATTCAATAAAACACCTTAGTCAAGGCAATAACATTCCGTTCCAAGTTTTAACTTTATTAGCTTAAGCTTTATTTGTTGTTTTTTCACCTGCTTATTTGCTTCTTCTATTTTTTAAATTAAATAATATAAACATTTTATTTTTTGTTTTGTATCATTTACAGTTCTTGTTTGCGTTTATTATACATGGTTCTGGTAAATGGACAGTTCGAAAACATTTAAAATATTTTTTGCAGAAATTGGCACCCTTTAATAAATTAATGTTGCAAATGCACTTAATTATAAAATCTTGGAATGAATAAATTAGTTTTTATTTGGTCATTGTATAAAATTTAGTTACTTTCTAACTTCCCCGATATATGAACCAGCAGCGATCTATTCGCTCAATCAATCGACATTGTTATCTGAAGGTATGCGTTCGGGATTGTGAAAATTTAAAACAATAGCCCTCTCCTGGTTACGGTTAGAGTGCAAATGTTTCGAGATTTTTCGAATGGCAACAGCTACATTTTTCCTGCGAAAACTTATCAGGCCATAGGAAAAAATCATAAATGGGTTAGAAAGATACACGTATGACAGGAATTCAAAACATTTGCAAAGAAGAGTACTTTAAAGGTCCAATGGCAACACAGAAAGAAGGTGCATTGACACACTTTGCGTTATTCACGGGGGTAGACAGCAGACGCTCCAATCACAAAACGCCTTGTGCAAGGTATTAACATTTTTAAAACACGTTAAAGCTATTGTAATGCTCATGTAAAAGGTAAGAGATGAAAATGAAATAATTCAGTGTAATGGAATCTTTTAATGGAAAGCAAGATTAGAAATGTTTTAATATATAAACAAGAAAAATCATCGCCGTTGTCAAATTTGCATAAAAAGCAGAGTAACATTTAATGCAATTAAAATTACCCAAAAGTAGAAAGAGAAACATAAAAGTTTCTTCAGTTCCCATACAGTAACTAGTAGAAATTGCGGTGAAGTGATAATTCTCCAGTTTATATGAAATGGATAATGTTGATTAAAGGGAAAAAAACGCAAATAATTATATATATAAAGAATTATTCACATGAAGTGGGTGTTTCTGAGGGACACGGTTAAGTCAATATTAAGTGGAAAAGACCAAACGTTTGCAACCATACTTAATTAAAAACTTATTTATAATCGTATTATGTTATTAACACTTGTAATATACTTTATTTTAAAGTAGTTCTCACCCGGCTGGAAAACTATCAGACTTTCGTCCGTGTCTGGTCGCTCCTGAAAATCGTCTTCAACTTTTGCAGATTTTTGGCGGGTATAACAACGGACAGCTGCAGAATGTTTTAAGTCACCAGATCGTGTGATCACGGTATTCAGCCTACTATCGTTTTCAAACACGATGTAAGCAGCATCCTTGAACTGAAATTTAGGCACTGATAAAAGAAAAAAAATTACGAGATTGTAAAAATACCAAAGAGAAAGAGCAAAATAAAATAAAACTAGAAGGTAATTTAAGAAGACTTACAATCTGAAGTTGAATCATTTATGACGACAGTAACTTTGTCTGGTGTTCCCAACACTGCATTCACTGGCATACGCAGTACGAGCTCAAAAGTTTCAGGACCTTCCAGAAGAGGTTGTCCTAAATCATCCAGAATGGTGACTCGGAATGTTTGCATTGTCACACCAGGAGCAAAATCTAACGTTCTCCCAATTCCTATGTAATCCAGGCCAGCTATTGAAAAGAAAATGTCAATTACAGTATTAATATGCTATATATATATTAATTTTAATTAATGTATTAATTAAAATCTTCTCAATTTATGTGAGTTGAACACAAATGAAACAAATCTTGTCCCTGTTTTGTAAAGACTTATTAGCTTTACAACTAAATAAGTCTTTACAAAGAGACTTTACAAAGATATTTGTAATTATAAAGTAGTAATGAGAAACTTAAGGATGGGTAAGATCACATCTGCATGTGAAAACTTATGAATGTGGAAGATCACATGAAAAAATACAGCAAATAAATTAAATATCTTTTTCTTTAGATATGCTAGCTCTAAATTTTGTTCTTAAAATAACTTTTCTTGCCATATGTTTCTACTTTGAGGCTGGCAAAACGACATGCTACAATTCTATCGCTGCTACAAATATGGCCGAATTTATTCATTTCTATCTTGATTCAAAAAGAAAGAGCTTACCTTACATACTTGCGAAATTATTTTTTCTTATATATTGTTAGTGTTGCTACCAGTCTCACTTATCTGATACCGGTCAGCACAAGCCCACAACATTCCTCGTTAAATGCGAAAGAGTCAAATGGAGTCAAGCAAGGAGTCAAATGCGATGATCGTTGGCAAGAGCATTGAGCATAATATAGGTGACAGCCCGACTTTAACTCAGTTACCCCTCCTATTTTGAGAAATAGCACCCTGGGATGACAGGTCCAAAGGTCTTCCACCTCTCTTTCCCTACCTCAACCTCTCGAGAAGACTTTCGACTCGCAGCATATTTAGAATACCCCCATGCCACACATACACTATACATTTACAAATAACTATGTCCCATCCGTGATTCAAATCCGGCCCTTCGATACGGCAGTCAAGAGTCACTATACCACTCTCCTGGTGTTTTTTTATATGTTACTGCACCAAATAGCCGGACGCTTGCAACTTAATATAGTCATTGTGACTAGCCGATGCCCAGCTATCCCACCACTGAGAAGTTTATCAGGTAGCACCACGGGTACACGTAAAAGTAGGACGGAACAGCAGAAATTCACTATTGGTCACATAGGTGTAGTCCGGCTGCCCTAGTTGTCAAGCTCCGACCCAATTTTGATGACAAATACCCCGTAGATCGGTTCGAAGGTCTTCAATACTCTTTCCCTACCTCAATTTCTCTTTCCCTACCACAAAATTACACGAGAGGTCTTTCCGTTCGGCGTGTATTGTGAGTGCCCCCACGTCGTTAGGACACTATATACTACAAATAATTATGCCTGGCTTTGAATTATCGAACCGAACAAAACCATACAGCATCTAGAAGCGCTAACCACTCTATCGATAGAAGTGGCAGGGTGCACCATAGGGGATGATCAAATTAAACCGGCGAGAAAAGGTTAATTCCATACCAGTTTTGATATAGAACACTTCGAGGACTAATTTGAGGATTCCCCTTCTCTTCCTCTACCACGAAACCTCTCAACAGGACTTTCGGCTCAAAAATATTTTAAGCACCATCATGCGCGTAGATATTATACACTTCCGAATATCCAAGAATTCTGAGGGATTCCAATCCGGTCCAAATGGTATCATAAATTAACATCTTTAACCACTATTTTGATCAACGTGCCTTTTTTCTTATGTTACAGAAGTGTGTGCTGTATCACATGATACGGTAATCCCCTCCTGTATATCGACATACCTTGACAAGATACTCAATTTCCTGCCACTTGCGTTCTAACTCAGCAACAGTTATCGAATGCATTGTTACATCAGTTTGCTCACGAAAAATTTGCACTACAGTCTATAAGGGTGAAACGTACTTGTTCATGCCTGCGCACTTGTAATGTAATCTGCGCATGCGCATCTGTTATGTTCTTCAGACGAGTTTGAGAATCGCCATCGACAGTGTTTGAGGGCTGGCCACAGCTATGAGTTAATAATAAGTGATTGTGATTTAATAATTAATAAAGAACCAAACGAGCGAATTTATTATAGTGTGTGTTATTTGGGATGAGACTCAAACATATCTGGTCCCACAAAGCAGGAAATTGAGTTTTGTGCGTGAATAAATAGTGTTTCGGTTTTGAGAACGCAGAAGTGTTTGTGTTTGCCAGTATTTTCAGCTTGTTCTTTTCAAAGAATATCGCTGGTTTTGTATAAGGATATTCAGCAAAAGTGAATCACTGCAGAGGTAAGTGATTCCTCTCTTCTTAATTCTGTACATTCTGTGCTTGTTCTGTTATAAATAACAATGTTATTTAAGGGTGCTAAAAAAGAAGATTTAAGGCTTATAGCCTTAGAAATAAATTTAAATGTTGACTAAAAAATGACTAGCAGATTTAATTGATATTATTGAGAATAGTGAAATTTTTAACACTAAACATGATTTAGTAAAAGAGATAGCAAACTCTATTATCGAAAATAAGAAACAAGAAGAGCAAAAACTTGTCGAGTTAGAAAAAATAAAAGTTGAGAGATCAAAGAATGAGTTAGAGTTGGCAAAGCTTAAAGCAGAAACAGAACTTGATGGTATAAGCGAAACCGAAGCAAAATCAGAGTCACTAGATCCATTAATAAAAAGTATCAGAACCTTAACTGTAAAAATTCCTATACGGCCTGAGAGTTGGGATTTTTCTTTTGGTCATTAGAACGAGCGTTTATTACAAAAAATATTTCGGAGGACTATAAAGCAGAAATTCTGTTAAATCTGTTAGGAGACAAAGCTTCGAATATAATAACCTATTTACATGATAAGGATATCGCGAATTATGAAAAAGTAAAAGAAGTAGTTCTGAAGGAGTTTCAGCCAACACCATATTCGTGTTTAGAAAACTTTAGAAAAACTGTTAAACAACCACATGAAACTCATGTGCAATTTGCTTCACGCTGCTTAATAACTGTCTGGGATTATTATTTAAAATTAAGGAAGGTAACTAACTGACTTTGAGACCCTCAAACAACTAATAGTTTCAGACAGGTTATACCAATCTTTAGATACGGGAACAGCTTCTCACATTGCAGTGAGGCAAGGTGATTCATGGTTTTCACCCAGTGAGTTAGGTAAAGAAATAGATTTATATTTCACATCACCAGGAAAACCTCTTACTGAGAATTCTCATGTTAATCGTAATTATAACAGCTCAAAAAGTATAGCTAAAGTGTTTTTATCAGATCTGTGTTATCAGTTGCTATTTATCTGTGTTATCTGTTGTTATTTATCAGATGTTTATCAGTGTTTTTATCAGATGTTATCAGATCTGCTGGAAAGCGGCAGTATGTCGAACTTTTTGACACGTAATTTTATTGAGCACTTGCAGTTAGAGAAAGAAAAAACCAACATTTCGGTTTCGGGAATAAATGATGCTACTTTAACAATAAAGCATAAAATTAATGCTTCGATATGCAATAAACAAGGAACTTTTATACAGAATTTGAACTTTTTAGTAATTCCAAAAATAACTGCTGATTTAACACCTTCGCGCAAAATTAAAATTTCAGTGCAAGATCTTCCTAATTTAAAATTAGCAGATGAAGGATTTAATGTTCCAGAAAGGGTAAATATGCTGTTGGGAGCAGGAGTTTTTTATGAACTTTTGAAACCGAGTTAAATTCGAATGAATAATCCTGATAATTTTTTTCAAGATACAGTTTTTGTTTTTATCGTGTCTGGAAGTATTCCAACAGAGACTGAAAACAGGGTTCATTGTGGATTGATAAAGGAAGAAGACAACTTAGATAAAACTCTTAGAAAATTTTGGGAATTAGAGAATATTGAAACTGATAAACCCAAAAACAAAGAATCTATAATTTGGGAGAAACATTTTGTAGAAACTTATACACGAGATAAAACCGGTAGGTACGTTGTTAAAATGCCATTAAAGGAAAATCCGAACACTTTAGGAAGTTCTAAATAAATTGCAACGAGTAAATTAAATTTCTTATGGAAACGCTTAGTAAAGAATCCCGAATATTTAAAATTATATTCAGATTTTTTAGAAGAATATCAACAGTTAGGACATATGGTTGAGGTAAGTGAAAGCGAGGTGGAACGAGGATCATATTACATTCCTCATATTGGAGTATATAGGGGAGAAGAGAAAAGTAAGTCGACTCCCTTGAGAGTAGTATTAAACGCTTCTTCTTTGACAACCAAAGGAAACTCTCTAAATTCTATACAGTATTTATTATAGCGAATTTATTATACTGTGTGTTATTTGGGATGAGACCCAAAGGTACTCTTCGTCTTTGGTGAACCTTCACAGAAAAAAATTCACTAGATTTTCTAGTTTAAAGAAACAGAAACCCAACAGCAACTTACGCACCAAGCAATTCAACGGTGGTCATCAACTGAGTTTTCATAACATGTTATACGGAAGTGAAAATACGGGAGCATAATCTACGAGTATTAACTTTTCCTTTTTAGGTGAGGTATGTACTGTCATTGCAACTTTGTGTTACGAACACATTTAAATCATCTTGAAGAAAACCGATTGATTTCTGAACTTCGTGAAGAAATCAACATCACCATCAAACTTTGACAGACTTCTTGCTTCTCGCGAAAACTTGCAGCATTCATTCTCATTGACTTGAATTTTATTTAAAGATGTACATGTACTCAAAATAGGCTTATATAATTCTTATGTGTGTAACTTAACATTTGGGTTTGTCGTTGTTAACTACATAAAATTGTTTATAGAAACAATTTGAAATAAATATAAGAACTTATGATAAAACCAGTATGAATAATAAATATTCTTAAATATTTACCAATCAAAATACATTGCAAACCCGGGGATCCAGCATACATCTTTAAGTAACAATCTTCTCTTATGTATAAAAAAATGACCTTTTTTTAAAAAATTGAATAATTCGAATCTTAAATTTCTCCCTGTTTGCTTCTTCAAACAGCATCTCTGCGTAATGCTGTCAAAAGAAAAATAACTTAAAACAGTATTTCATTTTGAGGAATTATCGTTTAATTCAAATATGAATATTAATAAAAAGAAGGAATTCTAATAAGCATTTTGAAAGCGAGTTGTTTGTCATTAAATGATGGCTTTCCTAGTATTCTCCTTCGCTGCATAAAGCCTCGTGGTGGTATGTTTATCACTCCGAAAACTTGAAAAGGGCTAGCCCCTTTAAGAGAAAAAAATGATTAATGGCTTTTAGCATTTAATATTATGCTTGCGTTCTTTCCAATACTCCTCAAATTAATGGAACTTCGTATGCTTCATTAAGCAACAATTTCTCTTCCAATTATGTTTAAAAGGTAAGTTGATGATGAAATAACTTGGAAGACATAAAGAAAATATAATTGAAAAAATTATTAATGAAAACATTTATTAGAAGTTAGTGTAATTTGTAACAAGCTGAGAAATAGAACTCGCCCAGGAATTATTTGGTTTCACTATAGCTTTTATTTTTTACTAAACATTAAAGCGCAAAGTTCAAATGTTATGGATAAATATTTAATTGATGCATGGTAGATAATTTAAATAATTATAAAAAGATAAGCAAAATAATATATTCTTTCAACAAAAAAAGTTACAAAAGGTGTGAATGAGCAATCCGCAAAAATAATTATCATATATTATTCTGAGAGGATTATCACCCTGCAAGAGCTTTCTGTTTTGTATTTTGAAAATTCAAAGACAGGACAGATAACAGCCTCCTAGAAACATCTCAATTTTGTTCTCAGAATGAGATTTATAGGTGCTACACATCTATGCATACTTTAAGCACTTTTATCAAAAGCAGACGCTTGCTGTTTTATTGTTAAAGAGAGACGGCAAGAACGTAATGACTGCAGCGCAGGAATAGAAGGGAAAGAGAGATACTGAGTCAAGTGGTCAGTACAAAATAAGTCGTCGCTGTTAGATCAGTCTTTTATAATATGTAGGGATGTCCAATGAAGAGCAAATCATCATGACCATTTATCTAAAACTTTTTATAGTCCATCTTTAAGCTCTCATAAAAACTTCAGTGCGTGCAGGCATGAACTCGTTGGGCTTCTGGTATACGTCCGCAGGCAAAGCATGCCGGATCTCCTAGCACAGGTCCATCAGTTCACATACGTAAATTACGCGGCGGTGGATCAGAAACTCAAAGGAGCTGTCCATCAGATGATAAACTAGATAAACTAGACAAAGGTCTGAAGAATTAGGGGCTCAGGTAAGTAGGCTGGCATCATCTCCGGTGGGGACAGTCTTCGTGGGCATCAAAAGGCTTTACTGTGTGGGATGCAGATAAAAAACTCTGTATAAGTTTTTGTCACGTTTGTGCGACACGCAACAACGGGGCGAGCTGCTCGCAGATGTGCTGATGACGGCATCGATTGTCAACATCGCCTTGAGAAGACGAGGGAAGCCCTAGCGACAAGCGAACTAACATGCATAGTCCGTAGGAGGATAACTCACTCTTCCATCTCGAAAGAACTTCGCGACAGAGTGTGCGTAAAACCGGTCAAAGCCAAGTCCCGGCTAGCAGCGGTAGTCATATCTCAACCGGTGAGCTGTACCGCGTCCCTGCCCACAGACCTAACGCTGCAAAAGAACAGTGGACTCCATGCCGTTTGTAAAAGCCAGAACACGAGACATGGCAGTGGATCAGGAACTCAAAGAAACTGCACATCAGATGCTAAACTAGACAGAGATCTGGGAAATTAGGTGACGAGGCTGAACTGTAAGGCTTTCTTCGGAAACCATGTGGACACAGTCTTGGCCTTGTGACAGGATGCGTTGTGTTATGTAGCGAATTATTAATATGCGTTTTAAGTTATTATTATTCTAATATTCTTATTTGTATTCATGTATATTTTAATCTGGAAAAAAAGTATTCTTAAGCTGTTAAGGCTCTATTTAACTCGTTATTCTTGAGTAGGAATTGTAACAAAGGCGAGTGACGGTTGCGAGGAAACACATCTGATATATTGGTTTATGAACTTTTTACTAACAGTGGAGGCAGTAGGATGCTGTTATCGCCTTTTACTAGTGGCTTGTGAAACGAAAATCGTCTTGCCTTCGCTTTGTTAAAGTTGCAGTTTTGCTTACTTCAAGACAGTGGGGTTGAACTAAGCTTAGGTAATTGGATTCTCGTAAAGCTTAGTTCCGCTTGTTAGTTGGGGGGTCCATTTTTTTCTCACGTTGTGTGTACAGATGTTTTTCGGACTGTACCGTCAGATTTTCTGGTGTTTGATTCGTCATAGGTGTGTCATTTTCTCAGTTTAGATAACGTAAAATTCCGGCATTGGTGTGATTTTAATTTTATGATTTTTTGAAAGCCTATGAACTCACAGAGGCGGAGAAACCGAGATTTCCTGGGTGCTTGCACCAGGCTAGAGTTCGATTATCGGGTCTGATTATGATTGAAGAAGCTAATAGTAAGAAGAGAAAGAGTGGCGGGGCTTGACCCCTTGCGGGTCTTGCTCTCGCGCACGGCGTGTACCAGCGGGCTGCGGCTACGGATTCCCGGCTTTGATCAGATGAGAAATTACATTTAAAAAAAAAGGCGCTAGAACTCATCGCAAAAATTTATAGCATCGTCGCTTCTCCATTATAATTTTCCGAGAATCGTAAATAGATATTCTCAGGGTGATGCAGATACCAGTGGGTTTCTTGTTTATCCTGCCTAGTGCCTTTCCAGTTTGGGTCCTTTCAAGACGTTTTTCCCTGGTTTATTGAAGCGTTCCTGATAAAGAATGGTTCCGGATTTAAAAGAAGCATCCCGATACCTGAGTCTTCCTTGGGTCTTGATTTTGTTGAAACGTTAGCGTTCCTGAATAAGAGTGTTCCCGATTTTTAAAAAAAATCGCTGCCTGATACCAGTATATTCCTGGGGTTCTGACTTGAGTGAAGTGTTCCGGAATGCAGTGCGCATCATTGGCCTGCATCCGGCAAGCAGCAAGATTTGGGTTTTGTGGATTTCTTCGAATGGTCAACGAAATGAGTTAAACGATCTGTTGAGCTATTAACACTCCGTATTAATCAGTCAACAAAATAAGCACGGCTAATTGTTGAACTATTTAAAACTCCGTATTTATCCGTCGATGATGGCACACGCGGGAAAATAGGAGTTTGATGTATGAACTTCACCCTGTGAGTGATTTTTTTTTCTGTCTTTTCTATTTAAACTGTAACCGAGTAATGATACTTATATTAATATACGTGTAAACGAAGTGAATAGAAGAATTAAATAATGAGTGGTTATATTAATGTACTTGTAAACGAAATGTTTTGAAGATTTAAGTAATGACAAGTTATTTAAATATACCTGTAAACGAATAATGAGTGGTTATATTAATGTACTTGTAAACAAAATGTTTTGAAGATTTAAGTAATGACAAGTTATTTAAATATACCTGTAAACGAATAATTAGAAAATTGGTACAACCACCTAAATTGTGAGTTATGTAATGTTAAAAAAAAAGTTAGTACTTACATGACTACACTTAACATGAGTGTAAGATTTAAAATGATATACATGTTAATTTACATCTTAAGGTTAATTTGTAGGGGACTGATCAGTTTACCTAGTTATCATATGTTTGAATATTCTAGAAATTAATAAATGTGTTTGATATATATTTTATGTTTCATTTGTTAAATTTAGTGTATAATTTACTGTGGTCTGTCATGTCCCTCCATTTGTTTGAGCCGGGAGGCTTTTAAGAAACATGGAGTTTAATTGAATTTGGGGTTATTGATTTTTCCCTAGTGGGCTTCACAATGCGCCCTTGTACTAAACCAATACCACTATACGTTTGATTGTTTATTTGATTGATCCTTTGAATATTATGATTTAGATTTGTTTTGAATTATTTGATTTTTTTTTTGTTAGTGTGTCCGGCACCATGAGTCAAAGTCAAAGTAAAAAGTATTAAAACAAAGTTAAAAATTGTCAGATATTCAACAGTTGTCCTGCAGGAAGAGTTTACCGTCATTTTGAAAAACAGACACCAAAAATGGATGTAAATAGCTTGTAGATATATTCACACAGGCACCAGCTCTCATGGTTTTGACTAGGGCAACCAGAGATATTATAACTGGTTCTATAAATGTTCCCCATAGCATCATTAAGCCACTAATATAAATTACTACTCTTAAAAATGGCAAATATTAATTATATACTGTAAAAGAATTTTTCAGGTACTATCCAAATGGATTATTATTTATTCCTGTTTCGGTGAAATACGTGGCATTTAAATATCTCAATATCACCTTTTCTCAAACTGTGGTCTTCGAAACCTGCCCTTGTAATCTTTCTATATTTCCAAAAAATACTATTTAAATTAACTTTGTATACCACCATACAGCTAAATATGTCAGAATTTGGATATTACGCGTGGCAACTGTCAATCCCGTTTTCTCCCAAGAGTGACATTGTATGAAATTTTATTGTCGATTACGTTATCTACGGACTTCTCGTTCTAGACTTAGCAACAGAACAGGGATTTATTAAACCACTATGGTGGTTCTTACGAGTATACAACCAAACATAGAATAGTTATGCAGACTCATCCCTCTCACTAACGAGAGTACCAACATTTATTTAATTTTCGGTTAATTAAGATAAAGATTATTAAAACAGATGTAACTTTTCTTCTATTAACATAATATCAATCTAAAATCAATTGATTTTAATTAATTGTATTTTATAAAGCATAAGTATACTGGTAATAACATATGCTACAAAGTTGTTTTCGAGGGGACAAAAGTAAGATGGCCGGTAGAACATTCTAATTTATAAAAGTGGTCGACACTTAAAAAATGTTTTAGAAACGCTATAATTTATTTTTAATGTATAAAATCTTAGATCAGTCTATCATTGTAAGAAAATACCAATTTCCATAAAAATAAAATTGTACGTTCATTAGGATATTATTACATTACTGCAAAATAATGGAATGGAATATTCAGATTAAAAGTTCCTTGAAAAAGAATTGAAAAATGTTTCCGTGCAAGTGTCATCAATTTTCGGGTGATTAAAAAGCAATTAAAAGATCATATGAGAAGTGGTATTTTATCACGTTGTTTTTCTGTGATGAGGTGGTTAGTATATCAACAGTATACAGCTAAATAAGTCTCCTGCGTTTATGAGTAATTCATTTTTAGTCCAAAGGATCTTTGTCCCTGAAGGACTATTGTTTTCGTTTTGCGTTGAATCACTATAAATATCCATTTATCATAAATGTGCGTTTCACTTTTCAAACTGTTGCCACCAAATGTTAGAGTCCTGCATTATATTTGAAGAAATTAAATAATTGAAAATCTGCATAAATGTATGTACATTTCTCGCATTGTGATAAAACAACGGTACATAGAGCCATCGAATTTTGAATGACGTAATCCTCCTACGAATATGGGCATGTGGAAGACAAAATTTGAAATTTGGAATTATCGATTTCATATCTCGTGAAACTTAACGAATTTTTGAGTAACACACTCGAGGATTTCAAGGCGAGCAATGGCAACACTCTACGGGGAAAAAAAAACTTTTTTATGTCCAGCGTGCGGAACTGTGTATCGGAAATTCTAAAGATATGCTCATTTTAAAATTATTTTGCGACATTGCTCTTGACTGAATTTTATGGTGTAAGTGCAAAGAACATGATATTTAATAACTAAAGGTAACACACAAAACGTTAAAAAACGACCCTTTGGACGTAATTTAAAATCTAAAACCTTTCAGATTTTTTTTTCTGAGAAATGTTTTTTTATAATACTTTAATATTTAAATTTTTTTGTAATGAATTTTATAGAATGTATATTAGCTGAGTGATGCTGAGAAGAATCATACTGTAAAGCAGTATATAAAGCAGAAGAGACCTTGAAGGCGCATTGTCTTATGCAATCAGACGCATTAATATATGAGGCAAAGAAATGTTATGTAATACAGTTGTATTTAATGCTCACCAGTTTCAATAATAAGTGTAATTCAGCTTTGGAATTAATTCCGGCAAGGCGCTAAATGCATTTTAAACAATAACAGCAAGGATTTCCTATAAAAGTGAAAAATCGCGGAAATTCATCGATCAGGATCAAATTGGCCTGTGCTTCTACAATGATTTTATTAAATTAATAGGAACATAATTAAAGAAGGTAAAGAACTAAAAAGCTACAAAAAAGGAATAAAAGTGTTTCGCGAAATGACGTAGGTGCATTTAAGAGTAAAGAAGGTATATTTAGTTATTTAGTTACAGTAAAAAAATTAATTAGTGCGCACAGATTTTAATAAATACCTGAGACTTAAAAGGAATATAATTTATAGGCTGAAGGTGTCTGGGAGTAATTTAGCAAAACAGAAATTGAGAGAGAATAAAAAAAAAATTAAAATTCCGTACAACAAATCTTTTTATGTTTTTTTTTTTTTTTTTTAATGTTTTAAATGGCATGTCTTACACGTTGAAGACATTTGAAACAAAAGTATAAATTCTACTTTTTTGTGAGGTTAGTTAAGGCATATTTATATGTGATACCTGCCGTTTACTTAACCTTCCGTTTCGCTTTTCATCTTCCATTCAACCTCCAGTTACTGCTTGGTTGTACATGCTTGAGTTATACTAATTAATGAGCAGCATTTTGAGAAGGAGAGCTTTTAAGATACTACTAGCTTACAAAATATACAATTAATTTGAGCAAGGACATCACAATATTTGAATACTTAAAAATGAAAAATTTTTTCTTTTCTCTTGATAAAAATATACGACAGAAGGCTGGGTGTGAAAAAAACAATGTAAGAAATTTTTGAACCATACAGTTCCAGAAATGTTAAGTTATAATTTCCTCGTTGCTATAGCTTGCAGTATAGATTATAACATTTATCGCTGACAACAGCGGTTACTAATTTTTTTTTTTTTTTTTTTTTTTTTTCTGGCTTGAAAAGCCTTTCACCAGCAGCCGAACGGTAAAGTCGTTGAACAGCAGTATTTCGCCTCTGGGTTAAATCCCAGCTGCATGGGTGTTCTGATGATTTTAACAATACGTAGCATAAATACCAGTCAAGTTCCTTGTAGAAAGTCCTCCAGGAAAGTATCCCTTTCCTTAAGGAATATCTCTAAGCTGGCTTTTGGGTATTTTGCCATAATCAAACAAATCACATCTAGATGAAAATGATCTTAGGATCAATATTCCTCTAGTCATCCGTTACTTCAACGAAAACATTTAATTAATCAGCTACTGTTATTTCAGATTTCTATGCTGTAATTATAAATAAATAATGCAATGAGAAAATTTTCAATGCCTTTTTGGAAACGGATTTCAAGAGGGGGCAGTCATAACCGCTGTTCTGGATGTCATAAGGACTGATAAGAATAATTTAACAGCATCAGTTTTACTCGAATCTAATTATGATTAATCCAAATACTTATTAAACTTTTGCAGAAGGAAGAAATCAAATCTTAAAATATCTTCATCCATGACATTCGGAAGGGTTCTTTTGTCTTTGAAAACCAAGGTCACAATTCCCAAAAGTTTTCTTTTCTCGACTGAGATCAGCCAGTGTGGTTACGTCGATGTCCTGTTGCAGAGCAAGATTAAACTGATCACTGAGCAGATACTGAGCAGATGTGTCACTATCTCGAGCATTGGAAAGCGAAAGGTTTGGGATTGAAAAGACATAAGCCTATCTGTCTAATGACCATGTTAAAAACAATGGAAGTTTTATTATTTTAAGAAAGGTCGTGAAGCTTGTAGAACTGTGATACGTGCCTGTTACATGCCATACTACGCATTTCTTTGCTTTCGTGCGTATGCAGAACGACTACTTATGAGTGAACTTATTACAATTTCAAAATTCTTCCTAAGCATGTAAAAAATTTTGCTTACATTCAGCAGAAACTGGATCTGAAGGCTTTGATTGGACAGTGACTTTAGCTGGACGGCTCAAATCAGTGCCAGTGCGCCAAACAAGTACTTCGACATATCCATCGCTTTCGTCTACGAACAGCTCAGCCTCACCAAAATAAATCGAAGGCACTGAAAAGCAAAAGCATGTTATATTATTAGACGAAAAAATTGTTTAAAATGTAAATTTATTCACTGTAGAAATTTATGGGTTAAGTTTTCTTAAAAAAAGAATAAAAAAAAATTAAAAAAACTAAAATTGCTTTAGGATGTTATATTAAAAAATCGATTTCTTACAAGCATTTTTAAGCAAGTTTCGTGTAAAAATTTGACCTAAAACCTGAGGCATGGTTAAAAAAAAATGTTTTCACTTTTGCTATTTAAGGAGTCAGGTGGTAAATTTATATTTGGCATTTCACAAAAGTCCGGATGTTAAATCTTCTGTACTATATACATAAAATACATTTGCATACAATTTTTATATAAATGAATAGTTATGCACGATACAAGAGTTAACCTACTAACATACCAATACATATATTTAGTAATTTAGAAAAGTAATGCTTCCGAGACTAAGATTTCGGAGTAATTTTGTTTTGCAATTGAAATTTCATAAAAATACAATTTTTCTGCTTGCGTGCATAATTCACCTGAACTAATTAGAATATCAAGAAATTTTTATTAACTGTGCAAACATTGAACCTGTATAAAATGGCTAGTTATTGTGCTGATGACTAAGAACTTTCAGAATTATAATTACACTGATGACAAAAGTTAACAATAATTGATGCTTATGTAAATATTTAAGAAAATCTATGATATAATGGTGAGAAACGTAATATGCGAGTATGATACGGTTATATCATATGGCAATAATTCAAAAAAAAATTAATCTTTTTTATTACCAAAGAAACAGTTTGAAAGAAAACAACGTAAACTAAAAGTTTCTACTTTAGTGAAAAAAATTAAATAAAAAGGTTAAATGGCAATTTAATAAGGTGTGTAGTCACTTCTGGTAGCCACGCATGCTGCATAGCGATTGTCCATATATGATGTGAGAGTATGGATGAGTTGTGGCCTCAAACAGCTCCAAGCATTAAGAAGAGCCAACTTTAAGTTCTGAAACGGGATTTGGTGGGTGCAGAAGAGTTGCAATTTGTCTCCCGATCATATTCCACACATGCTGTATGGGCTTAAGATCAGGAAAGTGAACGGAGTCACTGCATGCGTTGTATATTTTCATTTTCACGGAACTTGTCGACCAGGATCGAGCGGGGACAAGAATTATGAAATTCGGGGGGGGGACAAGAATCGCACGGAGGTTATCATGAAATTAATAAAAGAAAATTGTGCTTTAATGATATGAATGTTCTTGTTCTGTGTCACATAAACAATCAAATTTCCTGACTTCAAATCACAGAATTACTTCTCTCCATATATATTATGTTTACTAAAGAATAAAGTATCCAGAATGCAGTGAAAGATTTTTGTGAAATTTCAAATTTTGAGTCACTTGATACTTACCATATTCCTTTTGGGCTTTATATGGCTGGTGATATTTCTCATTAATGTCAATTTATGTAATTTCTGTAAAAGTGTTCTTAATGTAATTTCTTTAAATTCATACATCGGAATTAAATTTTCGAGACCCGAACACTTCGCTTTGATACTATCCTCAGTTAAGAGACCCTGTATTATATTATGCCAGTACCATACGATAAATATGTAATGCACGAAAAGCGTAAAGAATAAAACTTTCCTTTATGGTATAACGATAGTTTTCATTTCGACGAATTCTTCAAAACTCGCTTACACTTTCCCAGAAAATAATTAAATATGGCACTTCCTTGACGAAATTTGTATTTTGCTTGTTACTGACTAAGCAAATAAGTTTGTAATTTTTGCGATTAAACGCAGTAGCAGTTTTAACGAGAAAGTTGTGAAAATGCTTATTAAAAGAAAGAAACTTATACGCACCATCTTTTAAGTCTGGTAATATTTTAATTGTTGTTTCATTGTGCACGCCAAGTCTGCCTCCTAGTGGTGTCGTGAGTTTGATTTTAAAAGTTTCTTCGTCTTCGTAAAGTGAATCATCTATAATTGTCACTCTGCAGAAGTGAAGATCTTCGCCACTGAGGAAGTGGATAATGCCGCGATGGTCACTGGGTCTGCTAATGTAATCCATGTAAGAGAGAAGAGGGGTTGAAGATGTGCCTTGAGCCGACCCTAATAAGAAAATAAGCAAAATTACGAACGATAAGTTTTCATGGTTAGTCTGAAAATTTCAGATTATATACTAATACAATAAAAAAGATTTCATTAATAATATGAAAAAATTAAGAAAATATAAACAAAGTTGAAAAAAACAGTATCTGTATCCGCGGGTAATTCGTTTCAGGATAGCAGCGAAAGCTATATAGTACTACAACATGTCCATGTAACAAAAATAAATTCAACAAAATTTAATGAATACATTTGACACAGTATCACCAGTTATTATTAAGTTAAAATATACTGTGAACTCTTATTTCTCACTTCTGATATTACGTTTTATAGACCAGTGGTACTCCCCCTTTTTTATCCCATGCATTCTTTTCACCATTTCTGCTAAAAGATCATACCCCTCCCTCCCCAAACTCGAAAAATGCATACACGTTTATTTAGGTTTACATTATTTTTTAATGGCACAACAGGAAACAGGTGAAATCAGGTTGATCTCAACTCCCCCAGAAACTATAAAATTCTTACAGGGGGGCGGGATATTCTTCCCTGGTTGAGAACTTTTGATGTAGACAGAATATCAGCTTTAAAGTTTAGGAGCGCTGGTGACATCGCTGCTGTTACTCTTGGCAGCCTCTGTAAGGTGAATAAAAAATTTCTAATTCGATACCTGACACATAATGTCGTAATCTTCTTTATACATATATATAAGCGGCTAAAGTGTGTGTCGCCAATAGTTTATTGTTGCCACTCGGAAAAATGAGCTCGCAAATTAACGTTTCTGCAGTTTTTAATTAATATCTCGGCCGATTAAAGTCGTACGAAGATGAGAACGGTATCGGTGGATTCGGAGATTTTTTTTGGAATCCGAGGATACGCGTCTCGAATTTCAACTCGGCGCCGTTCCGTAGATATTCGAGGAAAAGAATTTGGCACGTAGCCAAATCCCTCAAGAAAGAAAGTGGAAAACATAGGGTAAAATTAGTTTTTAATTAATATCTCAGCTAATTAAAGTCCTGCGAACACGCGAATGGTCAAAATGGCGTGCCACGGACCTGCGGAATCCAGCGGTGTGTTTCGCTAAGCCCGGGAGCCAGTCGTTTCGGAGGAGATGATGTTACTTCACCTCATATATATATATATATATATGCGGCTTAAATGTCTGTTTGTAGCCGATATTTTAATGGTTGCTTGCGTAACTGTACTAGCCAATGGGGTGAAGTTACCACGGCACAGGGTTACCGTTTCAATTGAGACGTAGACAATTTCCTCTAAAACTTGCTTTTGCTATGAGCATCAATAAGTCACGCTTAAGCGCGTTGGCATTTTTTTACCTGAGCCTGCATTTGAACACGTCAACTTTATGTTGCCTGTTCAAGAGTTCGTGAAAGAACGGGCGTAAAATTAAAAATAATTGATGGTCCTCTGCAAAATGATGGAAAAAAATAATGGAAAGATCTACACAAGAAATGTTGTGTACAAAGGGATCTTTGACATGTAAATTAACATTTTATTATTTAAATCACCTTTATTTAATGAGATAGCGGTGGGTTTTAAGAAATGTACCCCGCAGTGGTTTCCTTCATTACACTCTACTTTAAGCAATTAAGTAAGTAGAAGTGGGAAACCCCCGGGGAGGGGCAATAGCAAAGGGGCATCCTCGCCGCCTGCCGTGGATAATTCAGTTTGAATTAGCAGACACCTTTGCACAAATCATTTTAATTACAATTTATAATATCTAGAACAGCGGTCATTTCGTATGACCTCCAGGCTTTCTAGTGTAACCGTAACAGGGAAATTCTTAAAAGCACAACTGAGACAAATTGAAAAGGAAAACTCTGTATACATGAGGGAGAAATCAGTTATTTTGAGCATTGATAGTCCATGTCTCCTGCTGACATCTTTCGAGCCGTCAAGGGATAAAAACAATTGAGAAAAGCCCAGTTTCGTGAAGCGACCTGTAACTTGAGAATGTACATGAGATCACGATAATGACCATTATTGTTATTAAATATGTACGCACATGCATATACCGGTGATCACCGAGAGAATGCAGTGTTTAATGTGTTTTGGTTTCTGTGTTTCGCACTTGGTCATAAGCTGTTTATCACTTGGAGTAAAAAACTGAGTTTACTATTAAGATATCTTTAAAATGACAAATAAAGATAGAGAATCATTTTAGAACTAGTCGATGGAATCACTTTGGAACTTCAGTTGACAACTAGCGAACTTTTCTTACACATAATGAACTCTTGCCTTGAATTTAGCTATTTTCCAGAGTTATGCAAAGTCGCCAATTTAGTGCTATTTACTCCCCAAAAAGGAAAATCTAAATTATATCCTAGTGTCTATCGACCGATCTGCCTTTTCTCCACCTGAAATTAAGTTTAGATTAACTATTAGCACAAAAAGTCACATATGTTCTCTTGAATAATAAACTATTACATGAAACCTAATTTAGATTTACACCAAATAAAGAAACAGTGTATACACTGGACGATCTAATAATCGTCGTCAAAAACAATTGTACTCGAAATTGGCACAATTGCGTAATTTCTCTCGATGTAATGTCCGCCTTAAATAATCTTTGGTGACTCGGTCTACTCGTCATACTCCAAGATCTTAATTGTTCAGTAAATCTCTTCATCAAAGAATTATTATCATAATAGAAAAGCCAGCTATGAAAGAGATGGTGTCAATGTCTTCAGAAATTATTGCAATGGCCCACATCAAGGATCTAATTTAAGTCTAATTTTGTGGAATGTTATGGCTATCAGCATCCACAATTCGCTGTTATGGCTAGAAGCATTTCCAGCAGTGTTCTTCAACGAACGGGGCTGGTGTTAAGAAATAAAGATAGATAACTTGAAGTACATTTTGAAATTCAAAACACCTTTTTTACTTCCGCTGTGAACAACTAATTCCGTGGATACAGGGTGTATAACTTTATAAGGATCATATTTTTTTTTTTAATTAAGTTGCAATCTTATTTCTGTGGTTTGGTTTGGTTTATTTAATTATGGCAAAGCACTCGAGAGCTATCTGCCTAAGGAAAGGGATAATTGCGAAGGACTTAATAACGAAAACTGGCTCATATACACGTTACACATGAGGAAAACAACGAAAACAGCCATGCAGTTAGCCCGTTTGCCGGGATTCGAACCCCGGACCAAGTTACCAGTGAATTTCCATAATCGAATTCCAGCCTAATATCTAAAACAGTTTTAAAGTTACGATGAGTCTTCTAGTTTAAGAACCGAATTCGAGAAATTTAGGATACTAAACATAAATTCAAAATAGCAACACAAAATAGAAGAAAAACAAATTGGTTGTAAAATTATCCATCATAAATTAATACCACGTCGATAGTTTTGCATTTAATTAATAAAGAAAAGAAATATTTAAGCAATAGCTAATAGCTGTCAGTTTGTTGTCACTAAATTGCTTCCGTACGAGGTTCGTAACAAATACTTGTGGCAAATGAAATAGAGGAAATTATTCTTTGCCTAGCCATGATTCTGCATACTGAAACAATATTACCTGTCTATAGTGAAAACAATAGTATCTTCGTCAACGTGTTAGAAAGGAATATTTAAATTTATATTACAATTTTATAAAATCAGCGATACAGCATTCAAATATGCATTTAACTTTTAAAAAGAGTCACAATTAAAATAAAACCTAGATTCTTCTAAGATTACCATTAACACTTCGAAACAGCTGTTAAATTGCAGCATTTAATTCTCATCTAATAATAAAGTGCAACATTAAATGGTGATCTAATAAAGTCAATTTAATGCTCAGCTGTAATATTTTAGCGGCTTTGTCTCCCGCATCGTTTGTTAACGGAAAGAAAATGAATTATTCAAGCGGATGTTATTTTGCTGGAGAAGAGTTTCTTAGTCTTACCTCCCTGTAAGATTTTTGACGAAAGCACTTCTAGAAATCAACAAAGCCACCTAAAAGGATTATACATAAACTCATCCTGCAAAAGAAACAGGAAATGGGAAAAGTTTGAGAGCTGGAAGAAGCAGTCTCGAGTGGTTAAATTTAACGTTTATGCCTATCATTGTTATTTCTGTTTGTGTCTTTGTGAAAATTGTTTTAGAAGATCCCCTTGTGTTTATAGTTCTAAAAGAAGTGCTTTTGATAATACCTCAGACGGATTCAGCGGTAAGTGCATCTTTAAAGGCGAGATGAGTTTTAAAAAGTGTTCTGTAGTTCATACAGAGTATGTGTTAAAGCTGAAAGCTTTTTTATAGTGTAATCTATTTATTAGATTTTTAAGCAGATTTTATTTACATTTTTGGTCAAAAATGTGAAATGTACTGAAAATAAAGCCAAAAGAGTTCCTTTTATGACTATAAGGTACTTTTACAATATCAGGCAATATAGTATTTATAAAAAGAATTAGTCTTCCGTTAACAGAAATAAAATTTAGCTTTTGATAATTAAAAATTAAATTTCAATTTTGTTTTATTCTTTTTATTAAAAAGTATTATTTTGTCATTGCCTGTAATATTTTAAACAGTATAAAAGCTTTGAAAGAATATTTAGTTAAGGAATTAAGACATTACAGTAATTGAAGAAAATTCATAGTGGCAGCTGTTTCTATGCAAATAAAGTTATTTCAATACGAAAGGCAAAATTCTAATGTTAAATTTATTAGTTGCAATGAGTATGTTAAACCTAGTCTGTCTTAATTGACTAGTCGCAATCAATATGAAAAATCTAGTTTTACCTAGTTATAAATAATAAGATTTGAATAAAGTCTAATTCTACGACTTACATTCAGAATGATTTGACTTGAATGTTTTGCAAAACAATGTTCTTTATCATAATTCAGGTATCTTCAGACATCTACCAGAGACCGAAAGGTAAAGTTCCTGAACACTGTTAGTTTGACCTGGGTTCGATTCTAGGCAAATAAGTTGGCTGCATAGGCGCTTTCGTGATTTTCTCATTGTATAACATGGATACGAGCCATTTTCCGTTAGAAAGCCTCCACGAAGGCATCTCTCTCCTCAAATAGATAGCCCTTGATACATTTGCTAGAAACCAACAAAGCAAAACCAGCGATCTTCAGAAACTCTGAGTACGGTCATATACATCAAATGGGAATAAAGGAGCAAAAATGATGCTTCAGTTCGATATTTGTTTATGTGAATTATTCTTATAATTAGCTGCGAGATTCTCACTTGTGTATTTCTCAGTTACTGTAGAAAGTGAATAATCTTAAGAACTACTAAGCGAATAATCGCTTAAGTTCGTGTGACAAGAAACAACAAGATGGAAGGGTAACTAACCCTTTATTATTCAAATAAGACTTAATAGAACTCCGTCTTGGAGTGTACAATAAAAGCCGACACTTGGGCTTGAACTTAAGAGACTAACAAATAAACTACAACTAATTTTAAACTAAAAGAGATGTAACCGAAGCTATCAAGATTCTAACCGAGTTGGCCCCTTAACTCTATTTGACTACGAAGCTATCAAGGGCCTGAGTACGGCCGAGCGTAATAACAGCTTTGCGAGAGAGTAATCAAAAGGCAGACGCACGCAAATCAGAAACTCTGATTCTGTCTAACTAAGCAAGTAGAACTTCACGGTTTAAATACCACTGCTCCTCATTATGTATTCAGAGAGATTCTAAAACTACGTTCTGGCCGAAAGTCGTAAGTTGAAGTTAAAGATTTGATACGAAAGAAGTTTTACTCAAAATTAAAATAACCTTACACAGTGTCTACCAGCGGCCAAGCGGTAACGTTGCTGAACACTGATAGTTCGTTCCAGGGTTCGAGTCCCTGTGAACGGGATAACTGCATGGGCATTTTCATGTTTTCCCCATGTGTAACATGTATACGAGCCACTTTCCCTTAGAATGTTCTCCACAAAGGCATCCCTTCCCTTAGGCAGATAGCCCTCGAGTGCTATGTAAACCATCTTATAATTAGTACCATATTTGATATTACCTATCACAGTTTCCTTAAACTGGCAGTTCGGGAATACATTTCAGTTATGTATTTGTTGCAAATGCATAACTGAATAACGTATTATGTATTTGGTGTACAGAATTTAGGAATTTTATTTTTTAAATTACAAGTTTATATTATTCTCATTACCATTAAAAATGAAGGAGAAAAATGCACAAGTATATCTATAGATTGAGCTACTTACTTACATTGTGTTTGAAGTACGAGTTTATATTATTCTCATTACCATTAAAAATGAAAGAGAAAAATGCACAAGTATAAGTATATAAATCGAGCTAATTAACTTATATTGCGTTATAAATCTTATTATAAGATACAGAGTTGATTAACTTTTATTCATACTTTTTAATTGATAGATATATAAGATAAATAAGCTCATTTACGAATTTTTGCACTAAGGATAATCGATTTGTTTTGGAATATATTTATAAATGAAGAGCATTCTTTTTCAGTTGAAAATTAATCCGAAAAGAACCCTATTGACGATGAAAATCTACAATCAGTGAAGAAGATAATTTCCAATAATTTTCCTCCAACGCTTCAACTTACAGAATAGACACGCTATCAACTGTCAAACTATAGTAAGAAATAAAGAAGTTTTTTTTATTATTTACATACATATATACTTTAATTTCTGAGTCGAAAAAATTTACTTAATAGGAGAAAGAGTATTGGAGGTGTAATATTCATAAATTTGCAAGACCAGTTTCGAAGGTTTAAACATAGATACTTCTTCTTCTGTTTTAGAAGTGCAAATGACGAAATAGAAGTCTGTGCTTAGGTTATAACAATGAATGGAACAAAATATTTTTATTTTATATGCCAGATATTTCTTACCTATAATTAAAATACTAGTTTATTTGGGTTTAAGAGTTAGATATATTTTTATCGTAATTTATAATAATAAGTTAGACACTATTGTAACTTTAATGTCAATCACCTCCTTCTGTGGAACAAATGACCATCATTTCATTTGATACATCTCCTATTCTTTTAAGTGGTATTTCCAGTCTTCTCACATTTTCATCGACTTCATAAAGTTCTTCAGGTATGAATACTACTGATTCTGAAAAATAAAAAGCAATATTTTAATAAATAAAAAACATAAAATATAAGGCACAATGCGTTTAATGGAGTTATGTGTTTTTTACGGAGAAATACTGCACAGTGAGAAACATTTTAATGTTCTAGATAGGTATCATATTTCATCATAAAAATATTTCAAAATGTTTTGACAGTATGTCAACGCTATTGCTGCTGATTTCTACGTAGCTTATTCGGAAAGAACTTCTGCCGTTCTATTGCGCAGAATCTAATAGAAGCAAGAATTCGCGCTTGCGCAGTAAACGTTATACAGTGGAATCTCGGATCCCTTCACAAATTGTTCGGTTCGCGGACAAATTATCTAAACAAACAATGGAATGTTATAATTTTCAAACTGATTGCAGAGAGCGTGAAAATGATCGAAAACTACGTGAAATTGAATGCAGAGTAGGCGTAATTTATGACAATTTCATGAGAGGTGGATTAATAAAGAAAGTTAGAGAAAAAAAAAAAGGTCAGACAGATGAAGACCGTGGAGGACTGCAATTATTATAGACTGATCTAATCTCATTCAGGGAGAGAAACAGTTAGCGAAAGTGTCATTTCACAAATTCTGTGCTTTCGTTGTAAAAGCACAAAACAACGAGAACAGCAGCAGCGTTGACCTTTTTTTTTTTTGTTTTTTTTGTCAGTATCATTTTGAGTAAGAAACATTTTTGGATAAGGCAACTGGCTACAACATCTGAGTGTGGCTTTCTGGTGTTGAAATTCGATAATAATCTCACCAGTGGATCCATACGTCTACACGGAAAAATCGCAAACATTCATACCATCTTTTTTAAACAACCTTAATGATGTTTCCTAAATAAAAATAAATAAACAAAACATAAAAAATTATTGTGATAAATAAAAGACAAATCTCTCTGCATCAGTATGCCAGGAAAGGTAAGGAAAAGATTATTTAATGCGATATTTCAAAACATTGATTTAAAAAAACCAAAACTGGTATTTGAAACTAAGAAAGTTACTTGAAGATAAACCAATAACTTTCTAACTAATATGATTAATTATATGTAAAAATAATTCCATTTATCCACATTTTTATTTATTTGCTGGCTATTGGAGCATATCTGATAATTTTTGTTATAGCAACTGTCATACAGGGTTGCAGTCATAATCGCAGTGTGTGTGAGCGTGATTAATGTTACTATTCGAGTTTGTTTTGTCAGATTGTTGAAATTTCACCCATTTTTGTACAGAAACATAGGATAGTGCATTATTTATTGTCATAAACCGTGTGACATAATTAATTTAAGTCAAATGCAACTGCAGATTTGGATAATGTGAATAAACTCAGCAATGTATTTTGAACGCCAATAAAAAACTGAAGTATTCTTACAAGTAATAGCTGCGCAGCTCACAATATTTCGCTAAAGCATATATAAATAACATTCGTCCCAGCAAATACGATACCCCTAAGTCAATGATGTAATGAAAGGGTTATTAGAGCCATGAAAATATATCATCCAAAACTTAACTTCATTTGGCGCTAAATCGTACAGTTAGCACAAATTTGTAAAATTTGCCTTAAATAAGTTAGTTTCCCCATTGTTAAAGGACTGTTTCATATCTTCTTTATTAAAATTAATTTATTTTAAATATTTCCACCATTTTATAGTTACTTTTAATAATACCTGTAACTTTTTAAAGCGAAAGGTGCTTTAAAAAGTGTGCAAATGATCATGTAAAAATAAATCACATTCTTGTAGACGTAACGAAATATTATGCAACAAAACTATGAGTTATATTGTTAAAAATACTAGCTCTAAAATGCTTTAACAAATTTTTAAAAAGTGAAATCATAATAAATTTCTAATATAGATCCCATGTTTCTGTCTAAGAGAATTCAAATAAATCAAACAAATGCATAGGGTTCTGTAAGTTACAGAACAAACCTATTTTCACTTATGTTTCACGCAACGAAATATTAGCGATCCAAACGCTGCGCACATCAAATTTTCAAATAGTGTGGAAATCCATAACTGCATATTAATGGCAAATTATTTCAGTGGATGCAATATTTACACTGTAACTAGTAATGTGTCACTTGAAATTTCATTTGAAACTTATTTTGTTATTTTTAAAAACCGCTTGTATGGTGCAAGATGGAGATACAATTTCCCCAAGCGAATCCATCCTACAATTTAATAATCGGTTTAAAACAGTTTAAACTACAACTGAAACTTCAAGTGATATACTACTTGTTACAGTGTAAGGGTGGCATCCATCGAAATAATTTTCCTTTAATATCCATTTTCGAATTTCCACAGTTCCCGAAAGTTTGACATGCACGACTTTCAATAACCCTGTATATTCATATTAGAATAGAAATTTTGAAATTAACATTAGTGTATTTAGGAATAACTTTTAACGCTTTTATTTAACCTAGCGTTTTGTGGAATTCAGAGCATGTATTTAATTATGTATCATTATTACATACCAACATATTTTAAAGAATATCGCAAAAAATTAAATAAAATTTATAACTACGGAAGTTAAAATTTAAATGCGTAGTTGTCCTTACTCAAGAAGCATTGATTTATATAATAAATATCTCAGATAGATTACCATCTTCTTCATCCAATATTACAACATCCGCAACCTTTGGATTTTCTAAAGCAGCTAACACGGGCTCCTCTAATTCAATTTGGAAAAGTTCCTCTTTTTCAAACGAACTATCATCGAAAATCTTTAGTTTCCACAGTGCTTCGGACTGACCTGGATTAAACTGAACCTGGTGAGCATACAGACCTCCAAAATCTAAGCCTTCTTTCGCAGTCACATTCTTCAAATTTAGACCTGTATAAGAAATAAAGTGATTTTATACAAATGAATACTCATAATATATAAAAATTTCGGACTACAAAAATAAAACAATATTTAGGGTTATAAAATAATTTTAAATTATATTACGATTCACAAAATGTACTTTTATATACATTTTTACCTAAAGCTTACTAAAGTTACTTACATATCGCAGAGATACCGACATTATTACTTCTACATTATACAAATTGGATTATTTAGATTATGGAAAGCCTACAAGGCTGTCTGCCTAAGATGAGGGACACGTTCGTCAAATTACATAGACTAACTAGTTAAGTTTATGATGTAGGAAAAGGAATGCTCTATTTGTACATAAACTTATTGCAGAGTTGCAGAATAAAAGCCTGTAGAGGAATTATACACATGAAGTACATTAATGTGCAAAACTTAAGCAACAAATCCATTTTTCAACACACCATTATGAAATTGTTGAAATCTTCGATACTCAACATTCAGAGTCATACTGAAAATTCTCTTTTTCTCTCCTGATTTTGTAACCATTACTTTTTATTTTAATACTTGAGAATGGAATTAAAGGTTGGGAGTCTGTACTTTACATCACTGTACTCGTCGAATATTTGCATTGTAATATTATCCAAAGTAGTGTACTACACCAAATAGCTTTTGTTATACTCGTAGTTCGCATTGCCTAAAATCTCCATGCCCTTCCTTCAGGAGCATCTTTTTTCTACAGTGAAACTTTCTTTGGATTACGAAAAAATCTGTTCGCGAATAAAATATCTAAAGAAAAAGGACGTCATGCTAACAATCGGGAGGTTCGGAGTTCGAATCCCAGCAAGGGCATTGCTGTTTAATTATGTTCCTGCCTTCGAAAATTCTAAAAAAAAACCTCAATAGTTTTAGTTTGAATTGTGTAGATTTTAAATGCAATATTTAATTCTCTACTTTTCCCTGGTTTGACAAAGCAATTTATTAAAAAGAAACCATAATTTAAAAAAGTCAGTACAAATATTCACTTGAGATGTGGAACCTCAAGATGTCAATATTTTGGGCTGAAATTTAAATTTAATTTGTTCTAACACATTGAGAATCATTTAATGACTCCGGCAATATGAATTAAAAAAAAAAGGTTTATTTTTCCGCTCCACCCTATTATTTAATAAAGATCCTGGTGAAGAAGAAACAACGTCGAATCTCACATTTATTTCTGGAGAATTTAAACACTGTATGATTCGGTTTTGAAAATTTAAACAAAGGAAGTCACAGAAACGATAATGGAAAACGAACAATAAATGTTAGAAAATCGTTGGTCTAATATGCTATTAAGCAAGGATTATGATCATCCCTACGTAACCTCTAGTTCTTAGATGCCTCTAATTCTTTCCCTTTACAAATGCATCTATTTTTTCTTAGACAGGAACTATTTAACGTGTCGCAATATTTAACTAACTAATTACCTTTAAATCTAAAATATTTCAGATATGTAATGAAATGTTTTGACAGTAACTTAGATGATGCGACTCCCAATTTACGTAACATGCGACTTCGTAAAGTCGCAGTTACTAAGTGAGCAAACGACTAAACATTCGAACTCAAACCTGCCAAATAGAAATAAGAACTCCGAGAACAATTTCTCCTTTACCCAAGACGTACTTCTTTTGCATTCAAACAATGTTCGGGGGAAAATAAAAAATGTCTCCAAGACATTTGTATCAGCAGGCTTATTTTTATATTAATTAGTAACATGGCAATTTATTTTTATATAATTTTGTATATTTTTCATACTCTTATAATTTATATCAGAGTATTATTGTTTTTGTAATGTTTCATTTATAAAATAGTAATGTATGAATAATATATTTACTTAATAAATATTAATTCAGTATCTTACCATAAGCAATATGCTTTCTTAACTTAAGAAAGTTGTAAATTTTACGATTCGAGTTATGAAAGGGTTTACGCAACGCATTCCTTACATTCCTCGGGTGATTATTGTATATCTAAACCCTTTTAAATGCAGTATTATGGACTATGAAGCCCATGTAAACATAAGAAACTTTTAAAGCAAAACCTAATACTTCAAAAGCAAAAGAGATAGTAAAGTGACGCAGAACTACGTAAATCAAACAGAAGGTGAATAACACCAACATCAATCAAACTTCATATTATGCTTTTGGACCCTAATTAGTATCTACTTGGGTGGCTAGGAAATTCCGGGAGCGCTTTTGTAGCTTTCAAAAACCTAAAAACACATGTCTTCACACGGGAATGATGATAGTAAAAGCCCATTCGTGCGTCGCAAATGATAGCGGGTCTCTTTTTCAATCTTTATTTTCCAATAAGCTTAGACAGCCGCCTTTGACCCTCATCATACTGCACAAATGCTGTTCATGAGCACTTGAGAGATAAGAAATTTAAATAAATAACATGAAATGTCTTCTGGTTCTCTTGAAGATCGTTGATGGGGCTTTATTCTTAACTATTTCGTGAGGTTGAAATCTGTTGCCCTGATAATAATAGCACGTTTGTACAATCATCTATGATGGCTGTTATTTCCACTTGAAAAACACTGACAAAACATCTCAAATTCAACGATTCTGAAGTAGATGTTACTTACTGAATCGATTTACCGTGTTAACTAGTAGCATTAATAATTTAGAATTCCTGAAACAAATTATAACTTTTAACTTTTAGCTAGTGTTGAGAAACATTTGTGCATAGTTGATATAGTGTGGGTATTAGATACTTTTACTAAAATTTAATTTTTACTGCTTTTTTTCAAATATTTAGTCAGTTAGAAATAGAGATGATCAATTATTTTACTGTAAGATAAAATAAATTCTGAAAACAATGAAAGCATTCTAAGTAAATGACATTTTCCAAACAAAAACGCTTTTTAAATAAAATATATTCATCATCATAGTCATCGGGATCCAAATGGTATCAGTTGAAATATTTATGCTGTCAAAACAGGTAAAATATTTTCCAAAGAAAAGAATGAGTATTTTGTCCGTACTAAATATTTAAAGTACTCACTTCTCAAACTCTCTGAGCGGCTAAACGTAGATATACGGTCAAAGCTATTAAAACTTGATATTTTTAAATGCACAGACTTATATCTTGAAATATGTCTAGGAACTAAAGTAGCATATATACTTTAAGCTCTAAAGCAGTGCTCCGCAACCTTTTCTCACCTGCGACGCACAAAAAATCTTTCTGGAATTTCGTGGCACACCAAAGAGTTCCGAGTTATCAAGGAAGTGCCGAAAAAATTCAAATGCTGCCACACTTACAATCACACACACAACCACACAACAGTGAATATATAAAAACATTTAAAATAGACATTATTTAGGAAAAAAATTGTCATTGTGTATTAAATACATGATAAAAATTGCAAAATGTCAAATACATGTATTTGATTGCGGCACACCTATATCCTACTCATGGCACACCAGAGTGCCGCGGCACACCGGTTGCGGAGCACTGCTCTAAAGGTACAAATTGGAAGTGGAATTAGAATCAAGAATGTGCAATGGGAAGTAATCTTTTCCATAATATATAAAATGTGGTTTTATATTTATGTTTTCGCAAATATGTTTTTAAGAAATAATTTGTAACAATTAATAGCTTCAAGAGTGAGTTAGCCCGCAGGAAAACACGCGCTACTAAGGATTCCTAGCAGTCTGTATCGAAGTTGAACCTTCCTTAAATACTTCTCCTCACTCATCTGTATTCAACGCGATTCTAAGAACATTCTGGTAGTAGAAAAGAACTGATAGGAAAGGACTGTGAAATTAAAATAACTGTTAAATATTAAAATATACCTCCCAAGGTCGAGTAAGGTTTTTTTCATTTTATAATTTGGGTATTTCGTCTCTCTGTTCTAAAAATAATAACAACATTTCTGGACTGCGACCTTTCAATATTAGTCTATGCCACAAAGCTTGCGTAACGCTGATGACGTAGTTAATTGGGAACCTAAACTCTGAGAACAGAAACCTTTCTAACTTAAACCAAAACCTTTCTCTTATCAGACTGCCATAATGGATAAATGCGTACTTTTAGCTTCACCTTCTGTGTTGTTTGGATGTCGCTGTGATCTCTTCCCATCCCAATAGTATTCAAAAATGTAATCTTCTTGAATTGGCCCAATTAGAGTCCCAAATGAATTGTGGCCACCAGAGCTGGATTTAAACTTGATGACAGCCTAAGCTAAGATATGGGGCCCTTTATACTATATTTTAATTCTTTGTCCCCTCCCAAGAAAGTTGGATCCCTAAGCTAAAGCTTGTAGAGCTTATACGTAATTTCTGCGCTTGCGAGCACAAGTGCGAATTTAAATAAAAATGGAATTTAATCCGGCTCGACGTCTTCCTCTTTAATATGGGTCGACGTTTTAAGCATCAAGTACTTACGCCAAACAACACTGCTTCGCTTCTACGTCTTCTACGTGTTCCTACATCAGGATACATACATCACCTTCTAAAATTTGCTTTCATTACACACACACACATATATATATATGTATAATATATTAGTTAGAAATCTTAAAATTTACAATATTATTTGAATACCTCTACACGTCTCTAACACTCAAAGAAATCTACGAAAGTCTTTTGGAAATGGCAAAATTTTTTCCTGAAATATTTAATATTCTGGATTTTCAAAGAAGGAAAGAATTTCTACATTTTTCGCTATAGAATAACTATATAAATTATTCAAAATTTCTTTACCTGCAAACACAAGGAATTCTAATGGGAAGTTCATATTCTTTACCAAAAGAATACCACTATTCTACTTCTATTTTCTAAAGAATTCAAATTCCTAAAAAGCCTTTTTCTGATAACGATATCAGTAAATTTGAACACACTTATAGATATATTGATGATATTATTACTTTGACCAACTATAATCTCATAGAAAATAAGAACATCTACCCAAGCTGTCTAAAACTTAATAAGACCAATAAAAGCTAAATAGAAATAATTTATTTTGATCTAAGTATTCATAATCTTAAATAAATTAAATTTTTTTTATTAAGAAAACAATTTAATTTTTCTACTATTAAACTTATAAATTGAAACTCCAAGACCTCTAAAAAAGTTATTGCAAATACTATAAACCCTTTCAAACACCCTTCTTTATCCTTCTCTTTTGGAGCTTTCAGATAAAAAATTCATACTTTTAAAAAGTATTATAGGGTGTAGACTACTCCAGACTTTTTTAAAAGACTATTAATGAAATTATAGGAAATTAATGTTCTTTTAAAAGTTTGGTGAGAATTAGAATTTCTCCTTTTTGTGTTTCTATTTCAGTGTAAACTTTTTAAGGTTTTTATTAATTTTTTTTTAATTTTTTCTCTTAATAACTATTCTTTTATTAAAGCAAGGGCTTCCTATATTCAAAGTTATCATGATAAGCTAAATGACGTAAAGATATTTTACTTTTTTAACCATAGTTTATTTACTTCTTTTTCTAGCTTTCTTCTGCATTTTTCTGTGAGTCTATTAATTTTAATGAATATTAATTCTAAAATTTAATTAAAGTTTTACATTGAATCACATTCTTTATTCCCTAATTGTTTTAAAGAAAGGTGAGAATTTACTTAAATTTCATTTTAATTAGTAAACTAATATTTTCTTTTTCAAAATATCTATTTAATTAAAAAAAATTTTAATAGAAGTTTTAAAAAGTTTTTCCTTTGGTTTCAAAATTCTATCGTTTGTTCCAATTTTTAGCCTTTTGAGGGAGTACTTTCACGCCACGGTATTTTAATTTCGCTAATGAAACCAAACTGGTAAACCTAAAAGTCACTACTGCAACGATCTTTTTTATAGTTTCGGTTGTGTTTGTTGTATTTGAAAGTGCTCGAAGTTTTTAATTATTTCTTGTGAGTTTTTTTTCAATTCCGTTAAGACTAAGTCTTTTTACTAAAATTTTATAATTTCGCCAACGTTTTCAATTCTTTGGATAATGTTTTCTTTGTTTAAAGATAACATTTAGACTTGAATTTTTCTCTAAAGTATTTTTTTATTTCACTTACGGTTTCAATTCTTTGAACAGATTTCTCTTTATTTTAAGGTAAAAAATTTTGATTAGAATTTACTTTGTTTTTTTTTTTACTTGCTTTGGGGAAGGAGCAGAATTTTAAGAATCGACAAAGATTATTTTAAAACTTACCAACAAAAGATGTTTCTCCAAGGTATCCTCTCCGTAATAAAGTAATGTGAAGAAAATCTTCTGTTTCTTTTATCGTATATTTGGCTTTTTCGAAACTGATCCAAGCCCAGTTGAATCGGAAACTTTGATCTGTAAGTTCATTCCGACCTGCAAAACAAAACAAAAAAAAATATTTAACGTCTGAGCAAAGTCATTCTGTCACCTATATAAAGCTCAAGGCAGTGACAGACGCAGTTTTGCTCTTCTTGCCAGAAGAAAACTTGTGGGCTTATTTTGAATAGGTCAGACAAGTGAGAATGGCCACAACAACTACACCAAAATCAAATTTTACAAGCATATGAAAGGTCCTATATTTTCCGTGAACACAATATTTCTGCTATTTTTCGATTTGCATTTTGGTGATTTCCAGCTATCGACAATGTTATGGTTCATAAACTCTCTAAACAACAAAGGAAATTCGTAATAGCTCTCTCAGCATTTTGCACATAAACAGCACAAAATTTTTGTTAACGTTTCCTCCATGAGAATGTTTAAGAACCAATTAGTTCTAAGGTTATCACACGAAACCTGATTTTGTTTAAATTATTACTTATTTATTGCTGAATACGATTTAATCTTTGATCATTGAATAGATATTTTTTGTCAACTTGAGCTATCTCTGTATTTGAACCAAACTTGTTTCTCACTAAATAATTTTTCATTTAATTTGCCTTAGCAAACAAATTTTTAAAGCTGTGAGAAAAAGGTCAAGGTATGAACAAAAACGTCTTTTCAAATGATATGTTTATGTTTAGAACGTTGTATATTGAATAATAAAGTAAAATCAGAATAAAAAAACACAACGTTTTGTTGCAGAAACTTGATATATGCGGAAATTTAAACATTTACGCTTCTGATATCTCGAATTAGAAGCAAGTATGATTTTATTTTGCTTCATTCATATTGTTTAGAATTTGTTTCCTTAACTGTACTTTTGAAATGTTGTTCTAAGGTGACGCTGGGGTTATATTACGCTTCCTAAATGAAATGAAAGTCTGTTAGAACAAATATTGCTTTATTACGAAGTTGACAGATGCTAATAATGATAGTTCCAAAAATGTGAATACCAATGATTTAGAATATTTTTGTGATCGATTTTTAGATTTGTTGAGTGAAATGAAATTCTAAGATAACAGTATTCATAATTTATGCGATGCTGAATATGCGTTTGATGTTTTACATTGTGAAGAATACACAGACAGTGCCAAACTCGCTATTTTTAAAGCACGTAAAGCTGTTCAAAATGTCATATCTGTAACTGCTAATGAAGTTCCAGTTTCTAATTTTCTCCCAGATACTCCTATGTCCGTTTCTCTTTTCAATACTGTGAAGTTACCAACACTTATACTTGAACTGTTCCGTGGGGATGTAGAACAGTTTCAAAGTTTTTGGAAACAATTTAAATCTTTTGATGGTAATCTAAATCTTTTAGCAATTTATAAACACATATTTGGTTAGCCTGTATTTTAGGGTGCCCCTTAGATTATCGGCAAGTTGTTATTTCATTTATCGCTAAGTTGTTTCATTTATGGTAATCAGAATAGTTGAATGTTATGGAAACCCTATTATGACGTGATTGGTTGCGTGATTGCTGTGAATTTGACTGATGGGAAAATATTTGTAAGGGCTTATTTCTGCGTTGCGTACTGTGTGCTTTGCATTGTAAAAAGGCTGCCGGTGGTAAGTTGGGTGTGTGGAAGAGCGGAAGGTGTTTTTTTTTTAAGTGGTTAAGAACAAAAGAAAAGAAACTTTGTTTAATGTAATACAACGGAATTATGAGTGTCATGTTTGTACGAAGGAAATACGTGTGGTCGAAAGTAAAGATCGTCCAGATGGCTTTGAATGGGTTTGTCACAAGAAAGGTTAAAATGCTCACCATATAAAGCGTTCCATTAGAAAGGGAACATGGTTTGAGGAAAGCTTTTTGGATGCTGCTAAGGAATTTTGTGTTCCACAGACTGAAGACACAAAAATTTCTAAATAAAATAAGTGGATGTTCTTTTGTGTAGTGCGTAGATGCGATAGTAGTGCGTAGTGTTTTTTTATGTTATTATTTCATTGTTTGATTTAAAAAGAAGTTTATGAGAGATTATATATTTTTTGTTTGGCTCTAGTGCAGAATTGGGTGCTCCTTCGATTTTTAAGTGAAAATAGATAGATGTGTACATGGACAAAGTCAAGCTAGTGCGCAATGTCGAGTTTGTGCAATTCTTGTTATTTTGGTTTTGTAGCGGCCATCTTGAAATTGTGCCTTGCTGGCCAATCGCCCAAAATCGCCAGTTTTCGCAAAGGGGCAACCTTAAATGTTTTTTTACCACATATTTTTCTGAGTTTAACTAGAAGATGAACTGAAGACATTAATTCATGGAATAAGTATTATGTAGAACTTATGAAACTACAAGAACCCTCCTTATTAACAAATATGGTGACAAAAATTGAATACTTCAAGCTCAGCTCGATTTGGGGAAAATATTACACCAATGCGACATCCGTCAGTTGTAACCATGAATGAATGTTTTGAGTGCAACCGAAGGCTGCAAGCTTTAACTGCTTTAGGAAAAAATATCGAAGTATACGCTCGTATCTTAGCACCAAAACATTTACTCGCGTTTACCGATAACATATGTAGAAGACTATTTAGTGCTTCAGTTTAATTTTTTTGCTTTTCTATACTCCAGGTTTTGAACTTTCACAAATGACTCTAGCAGAAAGGAGCAAAAGCATATTGATAGTGGAAGATCATTTCAAGAGACCTGGACAGGTGTTGGTCCTCATTTGGAGTTATCGAACACAATAGGAAAGCATTATGCATTCTGTGCGGAGAAAGTGTTGTGTGCCGTCTATCTAGTGTCAGACGGCGCTTTAACACCAACGACAAGGTAGTTGCCGAACTTGATGAAGCAAACGGAAGGTGTTTATTGAAGGGAAATTGAGGAATTATAATTACCAGAAAGCTGGTTTTTGCAATTATCTTTCTAAAGCAAACCATCTGACAAAAGCCAGCTTTCAAATTTCACTGTGCCTGGCCAAACATGGTAAAACGCTCTCCAATGGGGATTTAATCAAAGAGGTCATGTTATCTGGGAGTAAATCCCTTTTTCTTGACTTTCCAAATTAAACAACGCATTGCTGATATGTCATTTAGCAGAAATACTGTTAAAGATCGAGTCGTACGGATGGCAAGTGATATTGGTCAGAAGCTCACCACTGACTTACAAAAAACAACTGTTACTGTGCTTGTATGAAAGCATAGATATAAATAACTACGCAAGCCTAGCAATAATTTTGCTTTATGCTGTTGGTGATACGATGAGAGAAGAGCTGGTTAAATTGGCATCTTTGCCCGGAGGAACACAAGGAATAGACATTTATAATGCTCTGATGTAAGTGTTTTTGCAATAAGACATAAGACCAGAAAAAGTAGTTTCAATTATTAGTCATGGTGCGCCCTGCATGTTAGGAACAACATCTGGTTTCAAACAGTTCTTTGTTAAAGAAGCAAAACATCCAGTTATTCAATTTCATTGTCTCATTCACCAAGAAGCTCTTTGTGCCAGACAGCTGCAAAATATTACACGATGTTCTCAAAGATGTCATCAAAAATGGTGAATTACATCATGGCTCGAGCTCTTAATTGCCGACAGTTTCAATATTTTCCCATCAGTCTTCTTGATGAGGTTCAGGCACAATATAACACTTTGCTTATGTACAATAATGTCCGATGCTTAAGCAGATGGTTTTAGAGAGATTTGTAAGCTGCTTGGATGAAATTAGGCTATTTTTGGATGAAAAAGGGCAGGATTATCCACAGCTCACTGATATGGTCTGGCTTAATAACGTTATGTTTTTATAGATTTTACACAGAACTTCAATGTATTGAACAAGCAATTGCAAGGCTTGGGAAAAATGACAGAAAGGTTGTTTTGCGGTATAAAATCATTTGAGGAAAAACTGCATGTTTTTGAAAGAGATCTTGCAAGTTGGCAAATGAAATATTTTCCAAATCTAAAGATGCATCTAGAAAATTCTACACAATTTGCACACAATCCTTTAAGTCACGAAGAAATCTACATGGAATTTTCGAGCATCGTAGCGGCTGCAAAGGACAATTTTAATGAGAGATTTCTACTTTTCCTACAGATTGTGTTTTCTTACTTCTCCAGATAAATCTAAGTTTGAAGAATTTGATCTTTCTTGCTTATAATGGTTAGATCTTGAAAAGCTGGAGATGGAGCTAATGGAATTTCAAGAAAGTTCTACTTGGAAAAGAAAATTATTTGATCTGTGTGCAACAATAGGGAAGATGAAGTGTTAAAGGATCACACAGGACAGCACAATTGATAGTTATGAAAATGAAATCCTTAAAGCGTGGAATTTTCTGCCAAATACGTGTAAGTTAGTGAAAACACTTGGTGGTGCTATTACTACTTTGTTTGGATCATCTTATGCATGCTAACATCTGTCTTGAGCTTTGAATTATATCAAATGTGACACAAGAACAGACTGACTGATAACCTGAGTGCATGTGTGCGCTCAAATTAACGAAGTATGAGCCAAGGTTTGACGAATTATCAGTGTTGGTACAACAGCAAAAATCTCATTAATTACGCAAAACCAATCTATTTCCTGTAATAAAAAGTTTTTTGTATCATTAAAAACTCTCTTCTTGTTTTTTTTTTTTTTTTTTTTTTTTTTTTTTTTTCTTAAGACAAGAGTGTGTTGTTTTGCTAAGCCAAACCCCAATTTTCAGGTTTTATTGAAGTGTTGGCATTTTGCTATAAATAAGTGCGTTTTGGTTGAATTTTGGGTACGCGGCCCCAAAAAGGTTCGCTACCACTGTATTATAGCAACAAAAATCAGCGTAAGTTGTGTAAATTTACAGGGCTAGTTTTGAAGATAAAATAGAATCTTTTTGTTCAGCTATAGGAGTTGCAAGACTAGTTTCGACTGTTCAATACAAGCTGCACTCATAAAGTAACCGGACAATTTCTTATAAATGAAAACAAAATTATTACTAATTTTCAAATAAATTTATTTCTTCGAAATTTTCAGAGAAGTCTATATATATTTTTTAACGTTTCTTCAGGGCATCGAAACACTGTTTATAG